TATCTCAGCAAGTTCGCTAAACTAGTGGCTACACTAAGAAAGTGGTATTTGTGGTTTTATTTTCTTCATTATGCATGTTTGCTTTGAGGGGATTTTCTTGGTACACTGTGAACACCCACCTTTATAATCAGATGACAACCAAGCTACTGTATTTTAAATGACTCATCAGTGAAGACTGTCTGTCCTTTCAAACACGCCCTTCATTTAGTTCTTAACTAGCTGGTGCTCCGTAGCTGGAGGGCCACCAGTTTGCGAGAGCCCCTCTTCTCCCTTGCGGACAAACCAAAGCTAATGAGCCATTGGTCTCTCTCTTCCAATACCTGTCTCTCTGCTCAGAAGACCCCTCACAGGCTTGCACTGGGAGTCCCCAAGGTCGGGGGCTGGGGCTGGGTGGGCACCTGATCCTGTAGCAAACTGGACAAAGATCAGAGTCGGCATCCACATTTCTGGCTCACATTAGGGTCCACTTCTTTGGGTGACTGTGAACCACGGACGTGAGGAGTGGCCTGTCTACAGTGGCTCTCTGGTGACTTTTGTGTTGGTTACTTGAGGACAATCGAGAATTAGAACAATAATGGTTGGGTAGTGACTGATACCAGACTAACTTTTCTAATAGGCGCTTTCCACTTTTGGAGACTCAGCAGCCTCTTGCTTTTCTCTGCCTCAAAGGCCCTGCGAGCATCTCGTGCATCCTGGCTCTCGTGCCTTTGTTGCTATTTCCCTGCCCTGCAGCAAGGGGTGCCTGTCCCCCTTCTCCGGCCTTCAAGGCCAGCAAAAACATCGTCTCCTCTGTGAAGCCTCCTGGGTTTTCCCAGGAGGAAAGTCATACAGAACATGACTTCCTTCTCCTAATTCCCAAAGCATTTCCTAGCATTTACCATTGTTGGTATTTGCAGTCATGACGTATCCATGGTACTTGAATGTGAGCTGCGGGGATACTGATCATGTCTTGACACTGTTGATGCCAGACAAGTGTGTCAGGTGTCAGGGCACGTCCAGTCGCTGTGGGATGGAGAACAGTCCCTTGTTTTCACTCTGCATTCTGCAAAGAGCATTCACGCGTAGCATTGCTCTTGACTCTCCCATTGGGCCTGTGGGAGGAAATCTTGGCTCACTGAGGGTATGTCACTCCTTGCCAAGGTCCCACAGGCAGAAAGGATGGACCAAGGGGCACATGGGGGTCTTCCACTTCTGGTCCACTGCGCTCCCCATACCTACACTGTGTGGCAGGCAGGCTTTCCAGTTAGAGGCTGCCAAGAGAACTCTGAGCAGTGCGGGGCGAGGTTTGGTCAGGGCGCTCCCAACCCTCCTGCTATGTTTTGTCTTATGCGGGTTTTCCCCACTCTGTTTTCCCCTCCTTCTTGGGGGCAAGAAGAAAACGAAAGCAAGCTCTGAGACTTCACAGTGTATGGAAAACCCATTCTGACAAAGAACATAGGGGAATAGAGAGAAAGGCCATCCATCCGGGGCGTCCTTAGGTCTGGGGCGGAAAGTGGTTTGTTTTTACTCTTTGGTTCTCCCCAAATTTTCTGAGTGAGAAACACATTTCTCATGGGAGAGAGATGAACCTTTACTAAAAGCTGGTGCAGGGCCCTGACTGGGTGGTTCAGTTGGTTGGCGCATCATCCCCTGCACCAAAGGGCTGCAGGCCGATGCTTGGTTTGTACAAATGGGAGCAGCCGATTGATATTTCTCTCTCTCTCCTGCCTCGTTCCCTCCTCCCCCCCTCAAATCAATAAACATATCCCTGGGTGAGGACTAAAAAAAAAAAGCTTGTGCAGGAGTTCAAAGTCACAAAGAGGAGCCTTGCTGAAGTTCATGACACGCGCCCCTGTGGGCCGGTGGCTCCAGCCCAGCTGGGGCGGCTGTGAGTTCTGCTTTGGGCTGAGCTTTGCAAACAGGTTCACGGGACAGAACACAGGGGCTTCTTCTTCTTTGTTATTTTATGAAAAGATGACAAGTTACCTTTATGACAGCTCTTAAAATAAAATCTCATGCATGAAGTAAAACATTTAAATAGTTTACAAACTCGAAGGAAATAACGAGGTCTCACCTTTCTCTGGCTCTCCTTGTTTAAGCTCCTTCCAGAAAACGTCTCGGTACCAGTCAGCAGTGAGGTGTACAAGCCTTTATATCTTTTTTTAAAAGACCATGCAACAGTCTTATTATGCAACACAGTCTTCAACACCTGGCGTTTTTACCTAATAGTCTCGGTGACCTTGTATCAGTGTGAGGTCGATTTTATTCTGTTTATTGGCTGCAGGTGGTTTATTGAACAGGCATATCAGAGTATTACCAATTTCTGGGTATGTAGGCTGCTTCTAGTTTTCTTGTTCTGGAAAGAAATGTGGCAACACACATCCCTGCACACGTCCCTTTATGATCTGTGGTGCAAATACTGATAGGTCGCGTTCCCAGCAGATGAACTGCTGAGTCAGAGCCGTGGTGCTTTGTAGTTTTGACAAATAGGGCTTCACCTTCCAAAAAAGATGACCCAAGTTCATACTTACCACTGCAGCGGGAAACTCTTTGCCCCACACTCTTACCAACAGCAGATAATGGTACCATCATCATCGTCAATCCCTGTGTTCACACCAAACTCGTTACAATGAACCGTAACCCAAGCCACTCTCTGTTCTTTGTGTGGTTGCTTTTTGTTTTGGAAATTTCCATTCTCAGATATCATCTGATTAATATTCAGTCTCTTTATGCAGTTACAAAGGAGGTGACATAAGCCACGCTACTAGAAATATCTATGGAGTGTTTTCTAACGATGTCCCCCAAACCAATCTTCCTAGTCCCCAAACTAACAAAGTTAAATTGGCTGAGCTGGGATCTTCCCAACTTTGGAACTTCCAAACTTCTTAACTGGGCATTTTATTTTATAGACCATAATTCGGCAAAGGGAGGGGGTGGGTGTGGAGAATGATAAAGTCGGTGGGCAACGTTTAATTTTGGAGGGGACCCATGAGACGAGGTAAATATCCTGTTCCTCATGAAACATTCATCCGCCAGTTTCAACATCCACTGGAGATTTTCCGATCCCATTATTCCTTCTAGATTTGTTAGTTGCCAATGTGACAACTTGTTCTTTCCTTATTTATTTGTTATATTTTCTGCCAGTATGGATTCATGGATCCTCATTAAGTTGCTATCATTACTTAATTAGATGCTCAAACTGCCTCGGATTTGGCCAGTGGGGGCCCCATCAGATTGGCTCCTATGTCCTTTTGACACGTTCTTAGCAGACAGAGCTAGGGAACATGTATGTGAAACACAAATACACATACACACAAGTTGTCTCTCTAATAGCTAATCTAATTCGATTTTTAAAGACGTGGATTCACACCGAGGCCTCAGTCCCTACAGGGCGGAGCGAGGCTGCCGCGAGAGGCTGCCGAAAGAAGGGGTTCTGGTCGCCTTTCTCCCTCCCTGCTAATGGCCAGAGTGATGGGAGCGTGAAGAAAACCGGACGTTTTCATCAGATCCTGCTTTTCTTCATTCCTTCATGTTAAGCACTGTAGTTAGCGCGGTTAGTGTGGTCCAACTGCAATCAATGGTAAATATTCAAAGGGCAGAATGTAGGTTCTGACCCCCGAACTCATCCCGCGGTCAGCAGAGCGGACTCATGGGCAGTCGTCCCCCCCCAAGGCTCCCTCCTGCGCCTTTGCTCTGCCCTGTTCACCCTGCTCTCTCTTAACGGGAAACCACTGGTCTGCTTTCTGTCACCATAGATGAGCTTGCTTTCCTAGAATCTTATAGAAGTGGGATTATACTGTGCGCACGTTTTTTGGTCTTGCCTCTCTACTTAGCACAATTATTTGCGACCCGCCCACGCTGCCGTGTGTGTCAGCAGTTCATCTCTGCTCTATCGTAGGGATAGCCCACGTTTTACTTACCCGTTCACTCTGCTTGATGGACATTTGGGCTGTTTCAGTAGTTGGCTGTTACAAATAAAGCTGCTGTGAACATTCAAGGATCAGTCTTTGTGTGGACATATGCTTATACCTTTCTTAGGTAAACCCTCAGCAGTGGGATGGCAAGGTCACATGGCAAGTGTATGGATGGTTCGCTTTTTAAGAACCTGATGAACAGTTTTCCAAAGTGGTTGTGCCATACCACGGTGCATATTGAACACAAGTGGACTTTCAGAAAAGTGAGACGAGTCACAATGTTGTGTTATAAAAAGAAAATCAACAGGTTAGGCTCGAATTGATGAAGGCAACTGTTTTCTTCTAGAACGTTGGGGTGTGGTGCTGGACACTATAGGCATAAGAGGAAATGCCACTCAGGCACAGTCCTCTGCCTCGGAGGGGGTCCCACTGTTGTTCCAATGGTCCCTTAGGGGTCTGAGTTTTATGGAGATTCAAAGCCCATGGAAACAAGAGCAGAGACTGGTTTCATCCGCTCAGAGGCCACGTGCATCAGGGAACTATCTTTCCTTCGGTGAACAAACCGAGGACTTCCTTTGCCTGCTGGAGTCAGGGCCCAGAGGAAGGAGGGCCCTCTCTAAGCTTGTACTCGGAGCGTGCGGGCGGGTGTCGGGGTGCCGGGTCCTCTGGGAGCGGGACCTCGATGCTGGCGGATGCCACCCAACTTTCACGTTCTTGCCACCAGGTCACCCAGAGGCCCCTTCCCTGTGGAGCCTGGGTCACAGCATCCCCAAGTCCTGTGATCTTCAGCCTGATAAAATGGGGGTGGGGGGATTCAGTGAAACAGATACTGACAGAGTTGACTCGGGAGAAAAGGAGCTAATGGAACAAGGAGGATGTCAAAGACCCAAAGGGCTCTCAAGGGAGAGGATTCTCTCGCTTCTGTGCAGACCACCAAGCTGGTTTTGAAATCTAGACTGTTCCACTTGACACCGGCCCACCACAGACTCCAACCCTCGCTTGAGGTTTGCTCTGTCACGAGAAAAACAGATTCAACATTTAACCTCCATCTTTAGGTGTTTATTGAGGTTCATTGACAAGTCCTCTTTTTTCTTTTTGCCCTCTTTCTAGAAGCAAGCTTGCATCTGGCCCACCATGACACCCACGGAGTTCATGGTGAGTACGCTCCCCAGGCTCCTGGAAGTGCATTCCTGTGTAGCCTTTGTGGGGGTGTGGGAAAGACTCCATTGAGGGGTTGGGGGTGGGAGGGGGAGAGGATTTCTCTGCTAGGTTTCCTGGGGTAAGATCGCTGCAGAGCAGCGCCCCCTAGAGGCGGTCGACCCCAGTGCAGAGGGCTCTGCAGACACGAAGGGTCAAAAGCCCTCCAGTAAATGTTGTGAAGACAGAGGAAAATGCTCTTGTAGATTTTATTAATAGGTAAGGTTCTTTTTTTTTATGATCTCTAACTAGGGTGGGCTTTGTCCCATGTGTCTCTTCTGAAACGCAGACAATAGAGTGCAAGGGAGAATCCACTTATTTTGTTTCCACAAAAGTCCTGGTAGGCGCGCTGACTGCCATTTCTTACACAACATTGTGTGGGTTTTCATAAAACCACACAGTGGGGTGTATTTCTCAGAGAGGGGCAAGGAAGCCAACAAAAATCAGGAAGTCCTTACCCAGAGACTCATTTGTGATTTTATAGCCAAATGTGATCAACTATAGAATCAAATGAAATTCCCAGGCTTTTGTTGTGCTCATAAACATCTTGCAAAGACCTCTAAGAGCTTTCATTTTGCTTTTCTCAAAGGGAGAGTCTGAGTCTTACAGGTAGGTAATTGAAATCAGGCCTTCGTAGTGGAGCTAACAAACCCACCCCACAGAGGACTGTAGGTCCCCAGGGTCTTCGCGGAGCTGCGGTTCGATCACTGACGTCAGGCCATTGGCAGTGTGTGAACGATGCTTAGCCTTGTGTACGTGTCACTAGGTATTTGTAACAATAGCAAAAGGTGATAAATCTGGACCTGGTGAAGGGGTGAGGTATGTCTCTATTTTTCTGACCAGAATTAGCCCCTTTGGTTTCTCCTCCGTTAGAATTTGCCTTCCACCCCGATGCAGTGGAAGCAGAGCTAAGGTGGGGCTGCTTCAGGGATTGTCATTTGGCTTTCTCATTTGGGACCCTGGAAAATATCCAAACCCAGCAAGTCAGCCCTAGACAGGAAGAAAATGCACCCCAGTGTGACCTGGTATGTCCAGCACCACCTAAATGGGGCAAGGATGGGACCGCTGCGGCCCCAACACCAGGGTTCATTGGGAGCCACCATGATGTCCTGTGGCCACTCTCTCAAGGGGGCCTGGCACACTGGTCACTGCCCTGGACACCATAGTCCTTCTGCCTCACAGGAGAGGCAGAGCCCCCTTTACAGACATGGGAACTGAAGCTGAGATAGTAGAGTGAGGGCTCAAGGTCTCACGGGAAGTTGGAGGAGGAGCCCTGGTGGGGAGCACCCTCCGCTGCCCTGGGCCTCTCCCTGCGGGCAGATGTCAAGTCTCCCTGCTTGGGCATCTGTCCTCCCCAGGTGTGGGGTCAGCGCGCCTGGCCGTGATGCCTGCCGAATTCCACTGCTGGTAAGGAATTCATGTCCCCTCCCTCCATCCTCTCCCCACCAGCCCACCTTCCCGCTTTCCCAGATGCCCATCTTGGTGCTAAGGGACAATGGGGGACAGAGCCTCGAAGGACACCGTCTTTGCCTTCCATCCTATCTGCTCCCAGAGGAGGGACTGAGGGACCTGGAGTCAGCGGAGGGTTTCCAGAGAAAATTCATCAGTGGGGGAGGCCTTGGGAAGCTCTGGGGCCCTTTTCCCCAGCACAGCCCTTGAAGCTGGAGCAGAGGGCAGGAGGACACATCTGTGGGGGAGGTGGACAGCTGAGCCTGTGGTGAATGCCTTGTGGGGACAGAGGGGGGCAAACCCCCTGTCTTTCCTGTGTACTGAGGTCGGTCCCCAGCCAAAGGCAGCTCTGAGCTGCTTTCAGCCAAGCAAGCCACAAAGCAGCCCATGGTGCTAGGCAGATGGCGGCAGGGTGGGGGTGGGGGTGGGGGCTCCCGTCTCTGTGGCTCAGATTTGTCGTGTCATTTTGACATCAGAATGTGGAGAGCAAGGCTTTGGGTCAGGACGGATTAAAAGTGCCCCAGCTTGAGGCTGGGGGGGCAGGCGCTGGGGGCTGCCTCTGGCCTTGACCCTCCCCCAGTGGCTGAGGGCTTGGGGCAGAACCTGCCATTCTTCTGAAAGATCTGAAACAGATGATATAAATCCCTAGATTAGTAACCCCTTGGGAGTAACCAACTGTCCCAAAAAGGCCACGTCAGAGCTGTTGCCAGGGCCCCACCCTCACCGGCCTCACCCCGCCCAGCTGCAGGCCTGGCTCTTGAGCGGCGGAAGTTTCTAACATCTCCCTCCATTCTCGCTCCCGTCATCGAGTAGGATGGTGTTCTCCGGAAAACATTTCCTTGCCTAGCATGTAGACGGTGCTCGGGAAATACCTGAACGAGTGAACAGATTCCATTACGCACTTCCCGTGAATGAGACGTGAAGCGCTAACGTTTCTCAAGCCTGAGACGGAGGACTCGCCACTTTCTCAGTCCCACCTTCACAAAAATGCCGGCTGGGTCTGGGCCCCTCGTGCCTTCATGAATCACCTCTCCTCGCGGCAGAAGAATCCAAAACTAGCTCGGACTTCAGCTAATCGGCACGACAGGCTGCAAAAGAGGTTTAGCTTCGGTCAACACCTCCCTTTTTCAAGAGGGTCTGAGAACAACGTAGTTTGCTAAGAAATACAGGAAGAGAAACCTTTGGTGAGAGTATTTGTAGACATTTTAATAAGATGTGAAAGAGAACTGGCCAGCCCCTCCAAAAAAAGCAAGGCTGGGATGTTTACTGTGATAGCCCTTTCTAACACTATCCCCACCTGCTTCATGCCCCATAATTAATTTAGACATTTCACAAATATACATACATCAGAATAGGGGGAACAAAGAACATAAATTAAAATGGCGTCAGAGGAAGTTGATAGAACAGGCAGAAAAGACCAAGAGGAGTTTGAGTTTGTGTTTTCAGCCTGAGGCTGTGCTGTCCATTGAGGTGGCCACAAGCCCCGGGGGACCGTGGGGCCCTTGCAGTGTGGCCAATCCAACTGAGATGTGCTGTGAGTATAAAATACGCTCAGGCTGAAAGCAGTTCCCCACACAGGATGTAAAATAGCTCAGTAAGTTTTAGATTGCTGACACACCGAAATGGTAGTCTTTTAGATACATCCGTTTTCAATAAAGTACATTAACGTGAATTCCTAGTTTCTTTTTACTTTAATGTGGCTTCTAGAAAATGCAAACTTGACCTGTGGTTTGTCTTATGTTTTTATCAGACAGCGCTGGCCTCAAAGACCTGGTATGGTTCCCGGAACTGAGCTACGAGTTTGGCTGAGCTTTCCAATTAAAAGAATCCTGACCAGTCATAAAATCCCTATGTTCCATGAGAATAAAGACCCTCATGTGTTCTTCAGGAGCAATGAAGTCTTTCTTCCCAGATCTTTTGTATTTAAGTGCCCAGTAAGTGTCTAGAGTAGATCTCAGTGAGTAGGATATGGAGATGTACAAACAAGCCCCTTGAGGACCCCCTCTCAGTGCAGAGAGTGAGTTTACATGGGGAGCTCCTTTGATCTTACCTGTATGCAGACCCTGGGAATAAAGTTAGGGTAGCTGGTGGGAAGTCATTCTAGAAGGTTCTGCCATGTGCTCCTGGATGGAATGTGGGGTAAAAATGTGTGGATTTCAGGCCTTTCCACTAATCTGCTCTCAAGATCCTTATCTGACTGACCCAGGCTTTGAGAGCAGCCTCTGTAGGTAGCTTCTCCAGCAAGAACAGTGGCTCTAACCCAGGACTCAGAACAGGGAGGATGGAGTAATGGCTTTGCTCAGAATTCCTCATGGGAGCCTGGAGTCCCTCATCGAAAGAGGGGCCTGCCCCTGCCTGGAAACTTCAGGATGAAATATGTCCATGACTGTGCTCAGCACTGGTCTGATGTGCTTCAATGATAATGAATAATTATGTTTCTAAATATTGATACTGACTTGTTATGAGGATTTTCAAAGAATCCTGTGTTTATGATCCAAAGGATATCCATTCATCTGGAATGTACACAGCCAATAGTGTAGTCCTGAGACAGCAAGACACCTTTGTTCAGCCTGGGTTGTGAATGATCATTCCGTTATGCTCATAAAGATGACAAAAGCTTTGAACTTAGAAGGATGATGTAGGCTTACCTTCACAACAGATACGGTCTTGACAAAATGTACACACATCCAAGGTTGTATGTGTGTGAACTAAATCACTTTTAAAATATACCTGAGCAACTGAATCAGCAATTTGGAAGATAAGGAAGCAGAAAACTCCCAATTGGAACAGCAAAAAGGAAAAATCCAAAAAAAATGAAGATAGTTTAAGGGGCCTCTGGGACAACATCAAGTGTACCAACATTCACATCATAGGAGTACCAGGAGGAGAAGAAAGAGAGAACAAGGAATTGAAAACCTATTTAAAATAATAATGACAGAAAATCCTCTAAGCTGGTGAAGGAAATAGACATACAAGTCCAGGAAGCACAGAGAGTCCCAAACAAGATGAACCCAAAGAGGTCCATACCAAGACACATCATAATTAAAATGGCAAAGATTAAAAATAAAGAATCTTGAAAGCAGTGAGAAAAAAAGCAATTAGTTACCTACAAGGGAGCTCCCATAAGACTCTCAGCTGATTATTCAACAGAAATTGTGCAGGTCAGAAGGGATTGGCACAAAATATTCAAAGTGATGAAAGCAAGGACCTAGGACCAGGGCTACTCTACCCAGCAAAGTTGTCATGTAGAGTCATAGAAAAGATGAAGAGCTTCCAAGACAAGAAAAACCTAAAGGAGTTCATCACCACCAAAACAGCATTGCAAGAAACGTTAAAGAAATTTGAGAAGAGGAAGAAAAAGAAGAAATATGAATAATAAAATGGCAATAACTACATATCTTTCAACAATTACTTTAAGTGTAAATTGGTTGCATATTCTAATCAAAACACATATAGTGGCTGAATAGATAACAAAAAAGACCCTTACCTGTGCTGCTATAAGAGACATGCCTTAGAATGAAAGACACACACAGACTGGAAGTAAAGGGAGGAGAAAGGATATCTCATGAAAATGTAAGTAAACAGAAAAAGCTGGAGGAGTAATACTTATATCAGACAAAACAGACTTTTAAAACAAAGTCTATAATAAGAGAGAAAGAAAGACCCAGCAATTCTACTCCTGGGTATTTATCCAAAGTAACCTAAAACACTATTTCAAAAAGATAGATGCATTATGTTCATTGTAGTATTATTTTCAATAACCAAGATAGGGAAGCCACCTAGGTGTCCATCAATGGAAGGATTAGGGGATGATGAAGGGATTAAGAAGAAGAGGTGCACATACACAATGGTACGGGACTCAGCCATGGAAAAGGAGAAGCCTTGCCATCTGCAACAACATGGAGATGCACTGTGGAGAGCATCGTGCTTGCTGAGTGAAATAAGGAAGAAGGAAACACACTCCTTGTGCTTCGAGCAGGACGCAGGGGCCTCCCTCTGGGACTCATCTTGAGGAGTGGCGGTCACAAGCCCCTCGCTGGGCAGACCCGGAGAATGCTGGGTCTCCGGGACACTGGGACCGCTTGAGGTCCCCTCTGCAAGACCCTCTGGGCTGCATCTGGAGAAGGGGATGCTGCTTGTCTCCCCGCCTCCCAGCATCAGCTCAGGTTCCTGTGAGAGTCTGTTTGACCCAAATAGTGTAAAAACAAGACAAAAGAAGCTCTCTTTGAAAGCAGTTTCGTGCTTCGTCATGTGAATTCACCGTTGGCACCTGCTCATTTGCATGGTTTTGCTGCCTTTCCTCCAAAATGTCATCCTCCCCAAATCTTCACTGAAATGTGTGTCACCAGTGAGACAGGCTTTCTAGACAGCAAGGGGAATAAATGGTTACAGGTAAACCGAGGACAGATCAGTTGGGCCTGGGGACAAAGCATGTGGGAAATGGGGCAGGCGGTTCCCTCAGCCCCTCCCATGGCAGGTGGGCCTTTCCCGGCTGATCCTTCTGGATCCGTCTTCCAGGGTGTCCCTCATTGCACTGGGACTTTGTCTTGGTCACACACTGGAGGTGGAGTCAGGACTAGACTCCACATTTTCCTAGTTGTAGTCCAAGTTACCATGGGTGTCCTCCCTGGGGTCCTGCTGGTACTTACTGCCAGCCAGGGCCCTAATAGAGTGGACGTGCCCCTTTGGCTCTTGGTGTGGGTTTCCGAATCCAGGAGACAACAGCCTCCTGACAACTGCTGCCCTGTACCCGCCAACTTGGTGTGTCCTGATACCTAAGAGCATTCAGCAAACACACACACGGGTTTGTGCTGTAACAAGTTCAGGGAGCACTGTTCTGCAACATTCCCCAGATCCAAAGGACTTCTTAGAACTTTACAGTTCTAACATGCAGTTATAATCAGTCAAGTTCTGCAGGATTTTTCACAGCCTTTAATGTGCTTGTGAGTAGTGTGACGTTCAAAGAAAGTGCTGTAGTGTGCAGAGTCTCACCCATCTAACCATTAGCATTGCACCCAAGTACAGTGTGGGAAATGCTGGTCGAAGTTATTAGAAATAGACGGAAATCACAATGTGTATAAACGGGAGTCTGGCAGAGGATGTTTTATTATTTCACTGAGTAGTTAAATATGAAATCTAAGTATTTATACTTAAATATTTAATATTTATAACAAAATTAAAACCTATGGTGGTTTGAGGTTACTTCTAGTCCCAGTGCATCCGGGTGAACTGAACAACTGCCGTATTTGCCTGAGGTGAGATAAACGTAGGGAGGCAATCTGGCAGGGGTGCACCTTGGGGCAAGGCCCCGGAGCTGTGGTTCCCGGTGGGATGGGGGAGCCTCGCCGGGAGCCCTGGGGGTGCTGGTAGGAAGCGAGAGTGTTTGAGGTTCTGTGGACCACGGCAGATGTGGGGTTGCGTCCCTCCTCCACCCCCACGGCCCTTCCTCCCCCTTTCCTCCCATGTCTCGGGGTTCTGATCACCAGCCCTTATTTCCACTTCCCTTAGCAGGTGTGCTAGGCCGGCACTGGGCCAGGAAGCCACAGAAATTGTAATGGGGGGGTATGTGTGCACATTCACATGAGTTGTGTGCATATGTGCAAGTGTGCATTATGGGGGCTCAACAGTATGTGCATAAATATGTATGTGTGAATATGTGCGTGTGAGCAGGAGTAGAGGCACATTGGTGCATACATGAGTGTATGTGTGACTATGCACGATTGTGTGTGCGTGGATGTGTGTGTGCCTGGGAGCGCCAGGTTCATGGGCATCTGCCCTGCACAGTTGCATGGGGCCCTGTCCTTGGAAGTGCCACTTGCTTGATTTCACGCTCCGCTGTCTTGGGATTCTTAATGGATTTTGAGCAGGAGGCCCTGAAAATTCTATAGCCTGCCCTGGTGCTGGTACATGTATGTGAGGGTGTATAAACACATGCACATGTGTGTGTCCGGGCTTCTGGAGACTCAGAGGGAGCTGGACCCAGAAAAGCTTAAGAGCCTCTGAGGACCCGCTGGAGAGGACAGGACAGAGCGGCGAAGGGACAATCAGGATCCTTCACAGAGTTTGATGAGTGCGTGCCCATCAGTGGCCCCAGGGGGCCCTTTCCCAGCACAGCACCTGTCACGTGTCCCGTGATGGCTCACTCCTTGCACGCGCCCTCCACAGGCAGGTCAGTTCCACAGGGGCGGGAACCGTGTCTGACTCACCCACCATTGTGTCCTCAGCACAGACAGCGGGCAGGATGTATTGTAGCTGCTCGATAAACATTTGTTGAATAGATGAATCTGTTATGACCCAGGCAGACGCTCTCAGAACCCCTGCTTCTTACATAAACATTTCTTTTGTCTTATCACAGACTTCTGGGATTGGAAGGGTCAAGTGGTCTGTACCTCCGCCGACAGAACCTCCAAAACCTTGTCCTTGACCTGATGCTGTCTTGTGTCTCCTTGCAGAGCCTCATCTCTAACATGTCTGATGACTACACGTATGACTCCATGGAGGACTACATGAACTTAAACTTCACAAACTTCTTCTGTAAGAAAAACAGTGTCAGGCAGTTTGCAAGCCACTTCCTCCCTCCCTTGTACTGGCTCGTGTTCCTCGTGGGCACTGTGGGCAACAGCCTGGTTGTCCTCGTCTACTGGTACTGCACGAGAGTGAAGACCATGACGGACATGTTCCTGCTGAACCTGGCCATCGCCGACCTTCTCTTCCTCTTCACTCTTCCCTTCTGGGCCATCGCTGCCGCCGACCAGTGGAAATTCCAGACCTTCATGTGCAAAGTGGTCAACAGCATGTACAAGATGAACTTCTACAGCTGCGTGCTACTGATCATGTGCATCAGTGTGGACAGGTACATCGCCATTGCTCAGGCCACGAGAGCGCAGACCTGGCGGCAGAAGAGGCTTCTGTACAGCAAGGTGGTTTGCGTGACCGTCTGGGTGACGGCGGTCGCCCTCTGCACCCCAGAAATCCTGTACAGCCAAACCAAGGAGGAATCCAACATTACCCTCTGCACTATGGTGTACCCTCATGACAAGAGTGCCAGAGTAAAGTCGGTGGTCTTGACCCTCAAGGTGATCCTTGGGTTCTTCCTTCCCTTCGTGGTCATGGCTTGCTGCTACACCCTCATCATTCACACTCTGATCCAAGCCAAGAAGTCGTCCAAGCATAAAGCCCTGAAGGTGACCGTCACTGTCCTCACTGTCTTCTTCGTGTCCCAGCTCCCCTACAACAGCATCCTGCTGGTGCAGGCCGCCAACATCCACACCAAGTTCATCTGGGACTGCGCCATATCCAACCGCATCGACGTCTGCCTCCAGGTCTGTCAGACCATCGCCTTTTTCCACAGTTGCCTGAACCCTGTTCTCTACGTTTTTGTGGGGGAGAGATTCCGCCGGGATCTCATGAAGACCCTGAAGAACCTGGGCTGCATCAGCCAGGCGCAGTGGGTCTCCTTTACGAGAAGGGAGGGCAGCCTGAAGCTGTCCTCTGCGTTGCTAGAGACGACCTCGGGGCCTCTCTCCCTCTGAGGGAGCTTCTCTGTGAGGCGGCCCCTCCTTTTGGAAGTAAAACAATCAATACAGGTGTGGCTTCGCCACCAGTGGGACCAGAGGGACACCAAAGGAGAAAAAGGAAGCAAGAAAGAGAAAACTCTGAAAGGAATGAGTTGGAAAAGTATTCCTTTGAGTCAGAATTTGCCGAGGCAGGGTTTTCAGAACTGACTGGCCATCCCAGGAGACTTGATGGGCTCCCGGCCACGGTGCCCACGGTTTTCAAAGGCAGACGGGCAGGCAGCAGGGCAGACCACCCCGGCCGCGCCAGCCCATGGCGGCGTCTGAGTTTCTCCGTGCGTGGGAATGGCTGTGGTTTCAGTCCCAAGCCCTCCCCTCCCAAAGGAAACACAGAAGCAGTGGCCACTGTATATAGTCCCCAAGAGCACAGGGTTTCCCGAAAACTCCCAGGTTTGGGGAGTTTCTGCCCTGGTTTTGAGGCCGATACCTATGCCAGGTCTTACAGAGTCTTAACCTAGAATCTTCCAAACAACCTCAGATCCGATTCTGCTCTGGTCTCCTTGATTTGAACAGGGACCCAGGGAGGGTCCTTGTTCCTCTTTAGAAACACTCTGTAGGACAGGCCAGCGAGTCCCTGGGCAACTGACCACATCAGCAGGGCATGTGCACTCGGCTGGCTTCCACCCCCTTTCCAAGTCCTGCCGAGGCTCCATGGTGCTGTGCCAGCCCGCAGGCTCGGCGTGGGCGAGCATTCCACTTGTCCACTCGAGCACCAGTGTTGTGGACGTGGTCTCCTGAACCTGTGTTTGCAGAAGCGGCCTGGCTGTGCTATGGGCTCGCTTTGCTGAGTGGCCTGTGCGGAGATCCACGCCGGTCCCTGTGAAACGGGTTCGACGCTCCCCCCGCCCCCACCCCAGTCCTCGTGTTGCTGAGGGGCTGGGGGGCATTCACCACCGTGCTTCTCCTCTGGCCGTACAGTGCTGACGGGGTCCTCAGGCTTCCCACTTAGAGATTAGGCTGAAAACAAAGCAATGTAATCTTCTTTTGTTCCCCTTTTTTTCTTTATGTTTTTCTTTAAGCTCTTTGGTATCACATTTCATATATTAGAAAAGTGCTTAAAACTTTTTAAGTGTATTTTTTAATTACAGTTGACATATAATATTATAATAGTTGTACGTATACTAGAAAAGAATTTTTAATGTCCATTAAGAACATCCATTACCAGTCACTTTCTTCACCCGGTGTCTATATTTTACATAAGTGTATTACAGAGCAAATGGCTGAATGAAGAGTAAGAGACTGACATAAGGAAATTAAATTTCCCAAACACCTGGAAACCCTCTCGGCTGACCCTCTCTCCTCGGGTCAGACTCACTCCCCAGTTGCTCCCAGCGAGTCCAGTGCAGCGACCGCGGTAAACCACCAGCTCTGCCGCGTGTCCGGAGGAAGCACCCGATCTCCCTGGCGGGCTGTGAACTCTGCGGCTCCAGTTCCGGGGCCGTGCCTTCCAAAGGGACTCGGAAGCACTGGACTCTGCCACCTTCTCCCTCGTCGCCTGCCTGCTCTGAACCACGTGTTAGTGAGACCGTGAGCAGGAACCGGGCAGCAACAAGGAAGAGCGAGGAGGGGGACAACCCATCGCTAACCCATCCCGCGTGGGGGCAGCTGGTGGCAAATACGCACCCTGGCCCAGCACAGCCCCTTGGGCTCCCATCGGACAGACACGGTCCAGGGGAGACGACGTATCCAAGGCCATCCATGCACAGAGCCATCTGTGTAGCCACCATTTCTAGAAGACCCGGATATTGTTCAAGAAACTTGGAAGATTAGGAATAAGCACGGACTGAACCTAAAGGACACTGTGCAGTTAGGCAGAAAGAACACAACCGAGTTTGGCTTTTCCATCCTACGCCCTCTCACGCTGCGGTTCTGGTGCTATGTCACGGGGCCCCCCCGGGGAGCTGCGGAGAGGGGGGGTGGGAAGGAGGAAGGGGAGCAAGATTGTGCTTGTTGAATCTGCTCTCAGTCTGCAGTTGCTCAAGGGGTAACTTGAGGGCAGACCTAGTGGGGGCCTGAAGGTAGATAAGACTTTGGCCAATGCACGCGAGTGGGAAGAGCAGAGCCAGGCGGTCCACCTTCCCGCTTCAATTGCTAAGATACCTGTGGGGGCACCATGGGAACTATGAAACCCTGCGTTGCATCCTAACGCACTCGGTCCCTCCCACCTCCAAGGGACCCAACTGTCGCTACTGGACTGCCCGGGTCCCATCTCAGCTTCAGTGCAGGATTGAAGACGTGCTGTGACCGCATTGTGTTTGAAAGGCTTTAAGTTTTCTTTCCTGGCACATTGGCTTAGTGTTTAAGTGATTGCCTAAGCGGAACTACTTTACATGCCAGTTCAGCTGGGTTTCAGTGAGGGGTTTATCTCAGAGACAGAAACGTGGGAGGGGTCAGCACGGGGAAACCCACCAGGAAGCGGTGACCCACCCCGCATCTCTAGAAAATAGGCTGCGTTGGCTACTTTTTGAAATAAAGACAAAAAGGGACGATAGCATATCATTACATTGTACTGGAGCTCTAAAATCAGAAAAATGAAGAAACTAAGTATGTTTTCATGACCAAAAAGTAGCCTTTTTACTAAATCTCTCTTTATTTTTAAAAACAAAATTTAAGTCAACACATCACAACACGCACATTCAAGTGTGGATTATTATTTTGAAGTAACTCGCTTGACATCTGGTCTTTTGGAATTGCCTTCCGGGCCTGCAGAACACTCATTCATTCATTCAGCAAACATCCGTGTGTGTACCACGACCCTTCCTACTCGCTGAGGTTAGAATGGGAATATAACAGTCCTTTCCCTTGGTCCTTACACTCCAGCAATATGGGAAAGCCGAGGGCCCCGTGGGCAGACAGACTGGAGACTGGCACAGGAGGCTCTGTCAGCTGACACCCTTGGCTGAGAATCCCCAGGCTGGTGGCCTCCTCCGGCTTCTCAGTGGTTCGCAGACAAGTGGCCCACACAGCAGCTCCGAGGGTGAGCCCTCGGACAAGCAGCCTCGGGAGCGTTCGAGACCTGGTGTCTGTGCTGAGCATGCTCAGTCCCCATGCAGTGCTTTGTATGTAGACACGGTATGTTGGACTAATAAATGTGTTAAAAATTTAAAATTAAGTCATTGTGTCCAATTTGTACTTCAGGTATCAGAAATCAGCTGCCAGAAAAGTGTGAGGAACTCAAGACAACCTTGACCTTACGTCCTTTGGGTAGTAAGGTCCAGCATCCTGGTGCAGCAATTCCTGGCCCACAGACTTAAAAAGGCCATCGGATGATGAAGGTTCCAGTGGTAGGAGGGTGGTTTCCAGACTGTCTCAGCGTGAGCTTCGGGAAGAGCTTCTTCTCCAAATGCTTCAGGCTAACTGCTCCCGTGCCTCGGTTTCCTCATTTGCAACAGCTGACTTATGGCAGGAGCCCGTTAAATTACAGATGTTATTACTGCCACCCATCACCAGTGCTGCCATGAGGAGGTCCTTCTCTTGTCTCCCGTAAAAACTAGTGACCTTTCTGTGCGTGTCTCGTGTGCCTTTCGGCAGCTGACAAAGCCCGCAGCTTCCTTCTCAGCGTGTTTTAAAGTAAAAAAAGCAGATAGGACCACAAAGGAAACCAATTATATTAAACATAATTCCCTAAATATTAAAACACACTCATGGACTAGTAACACAGGTGACTCTTTACTGGGGCATTAAATGACACCTACCAGCAGGTGCAAGGACAACCTTCATTTCCGAGTGGGGATGAGCACGAATGGCATTCGAGAGTCTTCTATGGCTGTCACAGGACATGAAAACATCTGTTGTGTCCACTGGTGACAAAGCCACAGGTCTTGCTAAGATGGTCTATGTTCCTACCTGAGGGGAGACCTACATTTTAGCTGGAAGGTAGGGGAGAGTTGCCGCCCCACCATCCGTGCTCAGAGCATCTGGGTTCTGTGTGTGGGTCAGGACTCAGGGGCCCGTGTTTAGCCCGACCTTCCCCACCCACGCCCGTGGGCATCAGACTCATGTTTCTACCTCTGATTCTCACATTTTTGGCATGAATGGAACTACTTTGGATCTGGGGAAAGGGCCTGTTTCCATTCACGAGCCATCTGCCAGGTAGTGACACACCCCTTAAATATAAATACCAGCCATTAAAAAAAAAAAAAAGCGGCTGTAGAAAGATTTTACCTGCGGAAGGGTTTCCCACCAGGGGATCTGTTCAGAAGGGTCCTTCTCTCTGAGAGTGACGTTTCCATCCCTGCGTCCCCGTGGGTCCAAGGCTGAGCAGTCGCTGCTGGAACTAAATTAGGAAAAGGAGCCATTAGCTCATTTTACCCTAAGTCCCCAAGTTCTAACCAAAGTGGGGACCCAGTGGCCATCCTCAAGGCCCTGCTCGACGTGTCCACAGGCCGCCTCCAGCAGCATCACCTGGAGGGCTTGTAAAAGGACCAGATCGGAGGAACCAGGCTTGACGTGGGTGGTGCCCATGAATCCGCATGTTCCTGGGCCACCGGGTAACCAAAATGGGAGAACTTTCTTCCAAGAAACTCTTTGGTACATGCTTTTTAAAAAAAGTTAATTTATTTTAATTGTTGTTCAAGTACAGTTTTCTGTCCTTTACCTCCCAGCCCAACCCCCCTTCCCCCCCCCCCCCATGGCATGTGCTTTACATTTACTTACACCAGGTGGACAGTCTGACTCCAGAGCGAAGCTGAGCCCCGGGTCCGTCTCGGGCCTTTCCCGGCAGCCTGATGTCTGCGCCCCGGTACCCCAGGGGCTCCGGGCCTGTTTCCCCATCCGCTTTCCACATCTCAGGGCACGAACGTGCAGTCCTCTTTCTGAAAACACCCAACTATTCAGTCAGGGTCCTCGCTGCAGAGAGGGCTGTCCTTACAAAGACTTTGGTTCCACACGTGGACCCCGTCTCTTGTCCCAAGGCGTCTTGGGAGCAGTGACGGCACTGCCACTTCCCAGTGGCTTTCCGTGAAAGCACGCAAGGCCTCGGAGCCAGCCTCAGCCTCAGTGCCGCAAGCCAATCTTTCCCATGCCTGCAGTCTCTGCCTTCACTGTCTGTTTGCTAAGCGGTCCGGGCCTTGATTCCCCGGACGCGCTGCCACCACTGAATGGGGTGGCTGGCTTTGGCCACACCAGCTCCGCCCTTTCCCCCCTGCTCCATTCTTCCAATGAGAGAGGCCACTTCTGCTACCCCAGCCTGCAGTCCAGCTCCCCAGGAAGCCCTCGGGGAAGGCCCTTCCCTTTTATCCCTCTTTCGGCACCCCTTCTTTGCTCCCCCATCCTTCTAGTGTCATCCCGTTCTCCTTCACCTGCCAGGGAGAAGACAGTGCCTGCCCCACCGACCTGGCAGACAGAGGTTCAGGCTCACAGGCCTGGCTTCCTTCTCTCTCGTGGCTCAGCCAGGCTCCTTGGGAGCAGAAAGCTGGGGAGGCCCTCCTGAAACCGCCTTGTCTCTCCTGAGTCCATGGAGCCACAGGCCCAACCGGGCCAGGAAGTGAGGCCTTCTGCTCAGTAGGGACACTCGGTTATCTCAGGTCTGGGGAGGCCTGTCTCACTTGGCTCCCTTTTCAGCCAAGAGGCCATTCATTCCAGGCTCCAGATGGGGCTGCCCACCCTGAGATAACCTCATGCTTTCCGGACTGGAGGTGGGAGGAAACCGCAGTTTCAGGCCCCCCCCCAGCGCCCGCATGGAGGGGGAGGCGGGGACGCACATCAAAGGCCAGAGCTGGGCCTTGCACTTCTGCTCAGTGTCACCATCTTTCCTCAGCAGCCAGTGGGGCGTGGGAAAAGCAAAAGGCTGAACTTTCTTTCAACCCTAGCCCGCTGTGAGCCGCTTTCATAACAGCTCTGCCCTCCCCCCAGCTCTTCATCGCTTCAGCTTCGGCTGCTCCCTCCAAAAAAGCCCAGTTTTCTCATCTTGGGTGACTGGTTTCACCGACTATTTGCTTATCGGTTATGCGGGTGGTGAGCCCCCCTTGCTGGATTTTTCCCACGCACCTCAGACCAAAAGGGCTCACCCTGGAAGCATTCCTCTGAGTCATCTGGGGGACCACCACGTCCTCCAGCAGCAAGGGGCCAGCGTGGCCTGAAGAGGCGCGGTCCCTCCAGTGCCGCGGGGCAGGCGGCGCTGCATTGAACCAGGAGCCTGGGAAAGAGCATGGGGCTTGGAGAATCTGGAGCAGACTTTGGTCATCTTGGGCTACTCACTGGTTAAGCAGGCGGGGGGTGTGGGGTGGGGGATCAGACACAGAGGCCCCCAGATCCCAGCCACACACGCAGCATGCACAACTGTGTTTCAGTTCTTGTTCCAGCCCTAGACCAAGCCACCAAGCCCTTGGAGCCACTGTTCTCTACTAACAAAGAAATCCTCCTCCGTGCTGTTTTGGGTGTTTGGATGAACCAATCTTCAGTAACTTCTAGCTGGTTGCCAGGCAGTGTGGGGTTTGGGCTGAGGGCATCGCCAACAAGAGGGGGCACAGGGGGGAGCCAGACTGCTCAGCGCACCCCATCTTCCTCCGACCTCCTGCAGGCTCACCCCTGGCCCTTCTCTGCCCAGGGAGTTCCGGGAGCTTCTGTCCCTGGCCAAGGTGGCCCGAGGGATTGCTGAGGGCCTATGGCTGACCAAGGCATTGGGACCGACGCGTGTCCTTACGGATTCAGTCACCGTGGATCACTCTTGTGTCTGGCACAGCACTCGATGCTGTGAGGCTGAGGGAAGGAGGGTGATGGAGGTGAACGAAGCCTGGAGAACACGGCTGCAGAGAAGGCGGCTTACTCTAGAATTACTGATTAAAGGAGAGGCTACTCGCGAATCTGGGGCGCCAGGCCGGGAGGAGGGAGGCGGAGGGAAGCGGGCTGGGAGGTGTTCTGTGAGGCACAGGGAACCCGAGGTAAGGAGCTCTGACACCCCAGGCACGAGTCTAAGGTGTGACGGACCCCCCGGCCTCACCTCAGTCTGACCAGTCCAGAGGCGAGTGGGATGTGCCACTCCAGGCCTGCCCCTGCAAGAGCCCTGTGAGTCACAGTGGGCGCCCGAACTCCTCCCTCTCCAGCTGCCCGGCCCGGCAGTCCCGCCCAGCCCTGTACCACAGGTGGACTAACCGTGCGTTCATGCCGTCCACGACCTTCTCCCCAACCCCAGGATTCTGGTAAACCAGGTCTGCCTTTGCTCATAGTGCCTTGGAGTACCACGGAAGGGCTGGGGGTACCTGGGCTGAGGGCAGCTCACCTGGTGGAGGGCGGTGGGTTGGCACAGTGCACTGGCTCGGGCAGGTCTGGACACCAGCCTCAGAGTGGGGCAGGAGGTGCCCAGGCATCAGGCCAGGCGGCCAAGGCTCAGGACACCTGCCAGCTCACTTGGGCCCTTTATCTCCCAGGAGGGCAGCTCAACTCCGACTCTGGTCTGGGCAACTTCATCTGCACCCTATGTCCCAAGGGAATGAAAGATGACACCACTCTCAATATCATAGTGTTTATTTAAATCCTGAGGTTAAAAATACATTTCCAAATGATGCAGCAGATGCTATAAAGAAATGTTTTGGGATACAAAGTTTCTCACCTCCACCGGGCAGGCGGGGTGTTGGCATCTGATGTGCTTCTGGGTAACTCTTTGGCAGATAAGGAGGGACTGGGTTCCTAGACCCACTATCTCATAAGGCCACAAAAATTGAGGGCTGGTCAGTTCAAGTGCAATTCCAATCAGAAGCCGAGCAACAGAGGCCCCGGTGCGGCAGACACCAGAGGCAGGAGCGTCTCTGGATGACCCGTCATAAAGTTCTATGGAAGCATTCTTATGAGAAATGCCTCCCAAAATTCAAAGGTCCACTTCATTATTTTTAAAAAGTGATTAAGAGGAAAAAAGCTCTATTCAGTCTTTCCCATTTCCTTGAAAGAATCCCAATGAGAAAAACTTACCCAAGTTTTCACTAGAAAGTGCCTTTTGCGTCTCTCCCGGGGGAGGGCTGATGCAGCCGTCTCCGCGAGGGGCGGCCCGGGGCCCTAACCACCACGATCGGCTCCTCTCTGCCTGAATTCTCGAGGCTCCTGGGCCAGAGCCTCCCACAAAACGGAACTCCTATGAAACTCTCAGTGGACATCTACCAGCACCATAAGATAGAGACTCTGAGCCTTCATGCCCAAATGGGGTACTTCCTTTCACATGAGCTTCAGCACCGCAGGTGGGGGACAACTGTCCAGAAAAACCACCCCCTTCATTTTGGAGTCACATTGCATGGCTTTTTATTGCCACCTCCCCAACCCCAGGGGGCTTTCAGTGCCAGAGCCCTGCGTGAGAACATGTCTGCTCTTGGTTTGGTCGAACTGCCGTCCAGTGGGCTCCAGCCAGAGCTCTGCAGAGGCCACACTTTCTCCCAAACACTTCCTTGTGGGTGAGTGTGCCCCCTGAGGCCATGTCCTCACGGAGGTTTAGTGGCTTCTGAGGCCGTGGTGACAGCCAGCGTCAGCACTAAAAACAGGCGACTGTTACTCGGAGAGCTGTGGGCCACAAAGGGGCTGCTGTGTGTGCGTGAAGTGATCTGGGGGTCCCAGGGGCATCTCCCCCCTGCTGATTTCTAGTGCAATTTCGCCTACTGGGTGGGCTACCACCTTCAATAGTCCTTCATTGTCGTTTGCATTTTTAGAAGGTTCCCCAACCCCAAAGCCTCACTAAAGCTGGGGGCCTGTCTGAAATAATACAGCTATTTATACAAGCCACTTAAACAGGGCAAGTTCTCCAGCTGCAGAGTGCACAGCAAACTCGAGCTCACACAGCAAAATAACAAAGGACAGGGGTCCGTCCAGCACAAAAAGTAAACAGGCTAAGAGGCAGGCTGCAGCCACCAGCGATTGGGCGGTCCCCCGAGCACAGCCAAGGCCCTTTCGCCAACTGCAGCTGACGGTGCGGGGTGCTCACCACGGGGCGCCTGCTCGGCAGGAGTGGCTCTGGGTCGAAGAGCCACGTGGTTTTTTAAGCTGCACTAGGACCTCGCTCCGATGGAATGCTGCTGCGTTTCGAGGGAAACATACGCGCATTCACTAGACGATGGTTCTGGCTGCAGATAGTGGCGACCCTAGTGGAGGGCCATCAGCCTGGACTGTCCATAGTGTCCTGGGAAAGCTCAGTACTCACAAGATGCCAGACTGGTGCTGCGGATTGCCTATGAGGACCAGCACGTGGCCATGAAGGCCCTGGGGGCCTGGACATTTTCTCTCTTGGTGCTGAGCACCAGCAGGCCCTGAGCCAGCAGGAGAGGGTAGAGACTCTGATGGCTTTCTGCCAGAGGCTGCTCCAAAGAGAGCACAAGGCCCATCTTTTCTTTGGAAGGTTCTGGTCACCAGTCCCCATTTAAATGAACCGGAAGCACCCGAGTCTCCTGTTTAAATGAGGGGTCTGAGTCCATTGCAAAACTCATGTCCTCCACCCGTCCCCAGGAGAGCACTCTGCCCAGGGCATGTGCAGTCTCTGCCAGACTCAGCCTGGGGCCCCGCCTGTCCTGAGCTCTCGAAACCAGCCAGGTCAGATTTGTAGGAGACAAAACGAAGCCCTGAGGTGCTGTGACTTGCCCTGGTCATCAGGCGACCTAGAGGACTGCCCGGGCCTAGCACTCGGCCCTCCCCCAACCCTGAACAGGCAGAGAGGCCAACAAAGGTGACTTTCTGTGGCAGAAAAAGGGTAGAACAGAAAGTTATCACTTTCTTGTCCCTGAAAAGAAAACAGGACTGATCTGCTGGCACAGGCACAGGCTGAGCAGCAGGAAGTGGTTGGGGGCAGTGCTGGGGAATCTGGCCGGTGGGGACTTGGGACCAAAAGGTGAACAGAGGGCAGATTCACGAATCACACCTGTTTACACTTGAGTCGCCGAAGACTTGTTGATTTGAAAGTGGCTCTCATCCTGACTAGGATCTTCAGTAAACACGTCTGCACGTAAAGCTGAGCCCTAATTTGTGTAAACAAAGGTCATTAGCTGAGAAGTGGGACCTCGAGGCCATGGCGCGATCCTACTTCCTCATCATGGCATTGACGTTGGCCAGCACTAGGCTTCAGCCAGCTGTACACAGACGGCTACTGCAGGCCCTGCGTATTCGGGTTCTGCTTCCAGATTTGTCTTCAGTTCTCCTTCTCAGGGTGACATTTTGAACAGATGAGAAGCCTGGAGGAGTGAGGCCCTTTGCCCCAGGACAGATGTGTCCAGACAGGAGGGCCAGGAGGATGGTGCAGTTGGAGGCCTTCCTGAAATCACTGGGTCTGGGAGTGACCCCAGACTCACCGGGGCAGAGAGGGACAAGAACATGACGGGAAGAGGCTGGCTGAGATCTTGGAAGGGCCCCTGGGCACCCTGAACCTTGTGTCCTGGGAGGACCCGAGGACGTCACAGGGTCTGGCAAGGGCATCCTGGGTCATGGCCACTCAGGATGCCTGGGCCCAGGCTGGGCAGAGCCGGGCCACTCGCTCCACGGGCAGACACTGGTGTCACCGCTGGCCTGTGAAACTCTACAGGAGCCTTGGAATCAACTGTGTCCTCGCGGGGGGTGGGGAGGGTGAGTGGGGGGGTGGAACCCTTCAGCGGAGCATCCCTTTGGCTTCGAGTGCGGTCAGACCCCCAACCGATGGAAATGCCGCTGCAGCCCAGGGCGAGCCGGTGCACAGAGCAGCTTTGCGGAGCGGCGAGGGCCTGTGGCCTGAAGTTGCACAGTTGATCGGCTCTGGAGTGGCTGTTTTTCTGTTGTTTGTTTTTGTTTTAGTGTTTTATGTGACAGGTGAGAAAAGTGGCATTTCTTGTGGGTAAAGTGAAACTGAGAATCCAGGTGCTCGAGGCTACAGGAAGTCACTTCCATCATAGATCACTGGCCGGTCGACTGTCAAGTGATAAAACACTCTCTTGGAGACAAACCTGAGGAAACAGAAATGGGAAAGGAGGGAGGGAGGAGGGAAAGGAGGCCGTGGCCTGGCCCCTCACCCCCTTTCCTGTCTGTCCAGTCGAGTCCTCTTCCTGTAAAGACGCAGGGGGTCTCGGGACATCACCACGGGATTCCTGGGGCCTGGGTGCAGAAACGCCCACTTGGCACCATGCGTGCACCATTCCCTCTTTCTCTGCTGCTCTGAAAGGCCCCCCCGGGGGGCACTCGGGGACCTGGGGGGCCTGTACTCCATAGCGGAGCGGAGAGTGGGTAGAGCAGGCGTTGAGAGGGGAGGTGAGTGTGGATTCCATTCTGAGCGGGCATCCGAGTCTGCTCTGCCAACCATCTCTGCAAACAGACTCAGCAGGCGAAGGCCAGGGTTGGCCACAGCACCACGGTCACCTCTAATTCTAACCGGGAGCCGGCTTGGGGCTCGGAACTGCGCTCTGCCCTCAACATGCTCCTTCTTGGCCCGTCAACTGATAGTGAGGCTCAGTGACACAGTGACAAGGCTCGCTGTCCTGCAGAGGAGCTCAAGTACGGCCCACGGAGGAAAGAGCAAAGAGCAAAGCCTGGGCCTGGCTGACACCCGCCCTCTCTGGACACGCTGGCCCTGCGCCCTTGAGTCCTGCTGACTCAACGTGCATTCATGTTCATGGGGGCGTGTAGGAGCAGGGCAGGGTGGGAGTCTCACCCTCCCAACCTCTCTGTCAGTAGATGCCCTTGGCCACAAGCCCTGGGAGTTCAGGGCCTGGTGGCAGTGAGGGGATAGCACAGCTTTCTCACCCCAAGTGTCCTATCAAGTCATTTTGTTAAAAACCCAAGTGGGCTGGCAAGGGTGCCCATGTGGGGGGGATGTGGCCACTAGCGTGGGGCACCACTCAGAGGTGTGGCTGGGTGCTGGTAAGGCAGGTCTCATACAAGAGGCGGCCCCAATTAAGGGCTTATGCTGAAGCCAGAAGACATTAAAGGGACAGGTGCCAGTAACCCTCAGGGTCCCCTGTCTCTTGTCCCCAGGAGCCCTGGCTGATGGTAGAGGCACATCCAACACTGCCTCTCTCCCACTTCCTCCCCTGGCCTCCCCACCTTCCCGTCCTACAGAGCTGCCCCCGCTCCCTGACTGACAGAAGGGCTGGGAGCTTCGCCCCGCAGGTCTAGTCCGGTTTGCCTCTAGCTTTAGCCTTCGTTCTCTCATTCCCCTCTCTCCCTCATTCACCGGCCTGTCTGCCCGCCCCCGCCCTTCCACCATCGAACCCTGCCACTGCCTTTACGAGCCTTTCTTTGGGCCAGACAGTGGGAACCTGGACACCAGAGAGAGAGGCAGGCGAGTATGCCAGTTGAGTCCAGAGTCTGGAGCTCGGTCACCTGTGTTCACATCTGGCTCCGTCACTAGGTGTACGACCTGGGAGAGCCAAGCTGTTACCCCTCTGGTCCTCTGTCCCTTAGCAGTAACATGAGGAGAAAGACGGTCCCCATTACATGGGGCTGCTGTGGGACTTAAGTGACTTAGTAAGTGTGGAGGGCTGAGAACACGCCCGACATGCACTAGGCCTGTAAGGGTGAGCTGGTGTGTTTGTTCTAAGGTTGATAACAGACATTGGAATCCCACAGTATCGGGGTCTACAATCAGAGACCACTCACAATAAATTAATGATAATTAAGTCATCTACTCCTAATGTCCACCTCTGTTCTTGAGACCGGGTGGCGCGTGGCCTGGGGGATGCGGAGTGAGAAGCCCCTACCTGGAGAAGGTGTTGTCGAAGATGAGCATGTAGGTGCCCGGTGTGCGGACCTTGAGCTGGCCCTGGATGTTCTCCTTGTGGGAACTGCATCGGGTCATGGGAATGAGGACCTGGGAGGAAAGGCAGGCGAGACAGGGCGTCACAGAGGTTGACAAGGCCCCCAGGATCCTCTGGGAAGACCTTTATGTTGGGGGAGGAAACTGAGGCCCAGGCAGGCCGAGTGGCCTGTCTGGGGTCAAAGCTGACCTGGTCGGGGCCGGGGTGCCTGGGTTTTGTTGACAGTTTGCAGTAGGGGGTAGGTACAAATTTCATCCAGAATAAATAACTAGTCACCACCCCAAAAGAGTGGTCCCCCAGCCTCCTTCAACCATGGCCAGTGCTGGAACACCCCGCCAGCTGGAGAAGCGGTTCCTTTGTGGCTTTAGGAAGCTGGGGCTTATTCTAGGTAAAACCCATCTGTCTGGCTGTTTCATGTTGGCCCCAGTTTTACACAAAACAGTTTTCAAAACCCTGACATGATGTGGCAAAGGGCGGTGATCTCGGGGAGAACAAGGGGAGGCTGACAGCTGCCTCAGCTCACACTGCTTTGAGGGGCAGAGGAAGCGACCACCAGACAGGATACACGGGGACAAACAGGAAACTGCTATGTCAAACCTCACTGCCCCAATAATCACACTAAATGTGAACAGTCTGAACACCCCGATTAAAAAGCAGAGCTCATCAGGTTGGATAAAAGCGAGACCCACACCCAGTGTACCTATGAAAGGTACAAGTTAAACGTGAAGATACAAATAGGTTAAAAACACAAGGATATGCAAAGATGTCCATGCTAACGCTAGTCTGAAGAAAGCTGGATCGACTATATTAGTACGGAAGGAAATATCCCATCAAAGAATACGACCCCGGGGAATTTAATGACAAAGATGTCGGTTCACCAAGAGAATGACAATCCTACACATTTATGCTCCTGATGACAGAGCTTCAAAACACATGAAGTGAAAACGGTTACGAGGAGAAATGGAATACAGTCAGTTACAGCTGGGTGTTTCAGCATCTTTCAATGACCGAGGGAATAAGCAGACAGGAACTGGTAGGGAAACAAGAGAGGTGAACACCACCAACTAACCCGCTCCGGTCGGCAATTACAGAGCACCGCCCAACCACCGCAGAGCACGCATGCGTGTCGAAGGCGCAGAGCACGCATGCGTGTCAAAGGCACGGGGACCCTGCACCAGGCAGGGCATATTCTCCCACGCTGTCAGAAGCAACAACACACATTTCAAAGGATTCAAGTTATACATACTGTGTTTTCTGACAATGGAATTAAAGTAAAGATAAAGAGGAGGGCTCTACAACAGCCTCACATATTTGGAAACTAAATCACACACTTCTAAGTAACAGGGGTCGAAGAGGAATCAAAAGGGAGGTCCCAAAGTCACAGGAGGGAGAGTGGGTGTGCACAGGGTGCCTTCCTGATCCTGCGGCACGTCCCCTCTGGCTGGAAGCTGGTGGTGCTGAGGGTAGAGCACAGGCCCAAGATAAACCTGGGGCGAGGGCGGGGCAGGACGCATGAGTATCTCCCTCAGTCCAATGATTTGCGATGACACTCTAATCCCACCGGGGGTGGAGGGTCCCAGGAGCACAGAGGATGGGTCTGCTTCTGTGGCCCATGGGCTCAGACTTGAGCCTGGCCGGAGACCCTCTTGCAAGCATGGGCAGGAGAGGCTGCTGGGGAGAAAGGTGCCTCCCGCCTCCGGTCAGCGCCGTGGACACGGAGCAGCCCCCAAGAGCTCGTTAGCACAGGTCCTCCGGAGAGGCTGCGTTTGGAGCACTGCTCTTCGTTTCTTTCCAACATCCTATTCTACAGAGTGTTCTGTCACTTCAGCTGCTGTTTTCCTAAGACGGTCAAATGTGTAAAAATCTCTCATTATTTTAAATAAAAAAACCAAGTGTCCAGGGGACACTGAACATAATAACTCTGGTGTCCGGAGCTTGTGCCACTGAGGTGACGGGAAGGTGACTGGCATAAACCCGAGAGAGACTGGACTCCGAGGTGCTCCCTGGGGACCTGTCCCCGCGGTCTCCTTGCCTCGGTGGCTGTGCCCTGATTCACTCCACGTGCCTGCACAACAGTCCACGTGGTCTCACTGATCGCTCCTTGGGTTCTAGCAGCTCGGAGTCCAGGTACAAAGCAAGGGTTCTATGCTGAATGGGACCAACCAGTCACCAAGGCCACATCCTGCAGGCTTCACTTCACTTGTCATGTCCAGAGCAAGCGAGTCCGCAATGACAGAAAGTAAGCTGGTGGTTGCTTGGCAGGGCAGGGCAGGGCGGGGGCGGGTGGGAGGAGACAGCTAATGGCTCCGAGGTTTTGCAGGGATGCTGTCCTACCCTGTTTCTCTCAGCTGGGGCCCAGAACATTTCAAGAAAGGCCTGCCCAGCAGAAGACACCAGCCACGGCCCTGCAGTGGGAAGGGCCTGCCCAGGCGTCCAGGCGCCCTGATGTGTGAGCAAGGGCCCGCTGGCAGGGAGCTGGCCTTACCTTATGGACCTCATGAGACGGACCTCATGACCTAAAAGTAGACAGTGGGACAGCTGCACAACTCTGAACGTGCTAACAACCACGCCTTGTACATTTTAAATGGGCGAATTATGGCTCAATGAAGCTAATTACAAAGTAAAAAGCTGAAGGTCCTTGCTCCCAGTCCTGCTTCCTCCCCGACTCCTCTGTGGCCCCAGGCAGCCAATGAGCTTCTCTGGTCAAACACAGTCCCCAACCCACGCTCAGGACCTGTGCTCTGCGCACAGGTGCCCTCCAGTTGCTGGTGCGCTGTTTCTTTTATCAGGTGCCTTCCTGAACTCACAATCTCTAAACTTGGGGTCAGGCCTGGAAGAAGTCACCCTGGCGAGAGGGTGGTCCAGGGGGGCAGTGTCTGACAGGTGCCACCAGAAATGAGCTGGCCTTCTGCTGTGCTGCTCCTCCTGCTTGGACGCTTCTCTAACCCATGTCCCCACAGGCGTCTCCTGCTTCGGCCCAGGGGTCTCTGCCCTGCTTGCTGGCTCCCAGGCCAGGCTGATGGTGACACTCGCCTGGTGGGATCACAGCTGCCTGTTTACGCAGGTCTCTGGTTATGTCGTGAGCTCCTCAGGGGCAGGTCCTATGCTGCCCCTTCTCTCTCTGTCCCCAGTAGGCCCTGCGGAGCCCAGTGTACAGCAGAGGCTCAGTAAACGGCTGGGACAGACTGTGAGTCTGCAGCACAGCTCCTGAGTCTGTGCCTCCGTCGTCACCGCATCCTGCTGGTTCTTGTAAGACCCAGGCTGGTCAGGGGCTCACGGGGAGTCCCCAGGGCAGAGGTGTGCTGGAAATAGGTTTGCCAGGCTGGCGTGTTTGGGAGCTTCAGGTAGAACTAACCATCTCCACCTACAGCTGGCTGGTGACAGTGGGCCTGTGAAGGCAGAGGAGCATCTGAGCCCTGGTGGCTCACTCCCCCTGTAGATGGGCTCCTTCTGCCCCCTGGTGTCCACTGTGGGAAAGACAATGTGGTCATGAGCCCCGAGGAAACACCTGGAAGCCAGAGATAAGGACAGCTCCTCCGGGTCCCCAGGCTCCGGATTCCTGGTGGGAACCACACAGGGGTCCGAGGGCCATGAGGATTTGGCAGGCGAGTGACTGAGCAAGGGGAAAGACCCATGGCTCAGCCACGTGTGGGCAGGAGGAATGGCAAAGGCCTGGACACCTGATTTAGTCACCCCCTCCACCCCGTCCTCCCTGCTCACCACCAACACCCACCAGTGTCTAATCTGGCGGATGCAGTGCTGGGTGTCTGGTGGGCCTTGGGAACAGTGGGGCGAGCAGCAAAGGCCCCAGTGAGAGTTCCTGGCAGTGCAGGGTCAGGGAGGAGCTGATAGGCTCACCACTGTCACTGCTGCTCCACTAATGGCCCGGGTGAGTCACTCTGTGTCTCAGTTTCCTTATCTGCAAACCGGACAAACACCTGCACACAGAGTGACATCACCCCCCATCCTGTGCAGTCAGCCGGTGACGCTGAGTCTACTCTCGGACCTCATGCCCTAGGGGCTCGAGGCTAGGGTTCACAGCCTCTCAGGAAGGAAGGGCCCCAAAGCTAGGCAGGTAGGAGGCAGCGCTCAGCCCCAGAAAGGATGAGAGGGCAGAGCAGTGTTCAGATAAGAAAGGACACGAGACTGCAACAAACTAAGAAAGAACACGACACTCAGGGAGGCTAGGATGGCGTTTCAGGAGCGACTCTCAGAGCACAGAAATGACAAGCAACGTCCACAATGAGCAGGGCGGGCACGGCGGGAGGCACACCCAGACGTTCCTCCGCGTGGCACACAGCTCAGGAGCAGCGGCCTGCTGCGTCCGAGCTGAGCCAGCCTGGTGCTCCTTCAGCTCAGGGCCTTTCCACCCTCCCCTGACCCCTCAGGCACCCGTGGGCCACACGTATGAGGGGTAAATGGGTGTTACCTTGTTTCACACGACCTCAAGTTGCTCTGCTATCCTGACTCCGGTCTTTTTGGAAAATGGCGATTTGCGCAGCCACATTAAGGACCTGGGCTCCTCCCTAAGCTCCCGTCCAGCGTCTGACTGTTCTCACCGTTCCCTCCGCGCAGTGATTCAAATGGAACTCGGGTGTCCACCCACACCAGCTCTCACCCACTGTCTCCTGCACCCTCTGTCTCCCTATGGAGGAGCAGGTGTGGATTCCAACCCCCTTCCTCACCCCACACTCAATCAGCCACCACGGGTCCCATTCACCTGCCTCTGTTCCGGATGCCATCCCGACCCCTGCGCACTGACCTCCTCCCCTCACCCCAGCCCAGTGGTTCCCATCTTTGGCTGCTCCCCGGATTGCCTAGGAATGTCTGCACCCCCTGCCACCCGGAGGCTCTGATTCAGTGGTCTGGGGTGTAGCCTCATAGTGGGTTCAAAAAAGCTCCCCAGCCGTGCGTGGTGGCGCACTCCTGTGGTCCCAGCTACTCGGGAGGCTGAGGCAGAAGGATCGCTTGAGCCCAGGAGTTCTGGGCTGCAATGTGCTATGCCGATCGGGGGTCTGCACTAAGTCCAGCATCGATCTGGTGACTTCCTGGGAGCAGGGGGCCACCAGGTTGCCTAAGGGGAGGTGAGCTGGCTCAGGTGGGAAAAAAAACTCCCCAGATGCTGTCCTACCCTGTTTCTCTCAGCTGGGGCCCAGAACATTTCAAGAAAGGCCTGCCCAGCAGAAGACACCAGCCACGGCCCTGCAGTGGGAAGGGCCTGCCCAGGCGTCCAGGCGTCCTGATGTGTGAGCGAGGGCCCGCTGGCAGGGAGCTGGCCTTACCTTACACTGTTCCAGCGGTGTGTCCTCCGCCTCCCGGAAGACCACGCTGAAGGAGATGCTCTTGGGGTCGGAGGAGAAGACCCAGCTGATGGTGAGGCCCGCCTCGGCCACGGTGATGGGGATGAGGCTGTAGGTACTGGACCGCACGAACAGCTCCCTGCTGCCCTCCCCAAAGTGGGCGATCTCTTCCACTGTGAAGGGCACTTTTATCCTGAAAACCAACCAAACAAACGCAGGGAGGGACCGGATCAAAGTGGGTGAAAGTTGCCTTTGCTGGTCAGGCTGGCTGTGGCTCAGAGGTGGCCGGAAATCCAAAGCTCTTGGGAGGATAAGCTCTGGGTATCCTGGAGTATGGGCTTAATATGGGGAGAAAGTTTTAAGTGAAACTCATGCCAACAGGCATTTTCTGAGCACTTACCACGTGCCTGCTGTAGTACTAGGCACTGGGGACACACGGGTAAAGGAAACAGACAAGCCCTGCTGGTGCGAGCCTGCGGTGGCACCGAGAGGTCGGCCTGAGGTCCCCCTCTAGGGCGGGAGGCCGGTGCTGAGGCCTGGCTCTCTGCAGCTCGCCCGAAGCCGCCCTGCTCCTTAGCTGTCCCCCTTCCCTTTCCCATTCCCTGTCCCCCTCTATCTAATTAGCACCAGCAGAAAGCACACCCCTCATCAGAAACCTCCAAGCGGATACCCTGACTTTTCTTACATGCAAATACCCCAGATTTTCTTTTTTTCAATTAAATTTTTTTCCAATCATAGTTTGCATTCAGGATTATTTTGTATTAGTTACAGTTGTACAGCACAGTGGTTAGACAATCACATACTTTACAGAGTGCTCCCTCTGATATTTCTAGTACCCACCCCACATCATGCAGTTATTATAATATTATTTTTAAAAGATTTTATTTACTTATTTTTAGAGAGAGGAGAAGGGAAGGAGAGAGAAAGAGAAACACTGATGTGAAAGAGAGACATTGATCGGCTGCCTCTCATACACTCCCTGACTGGGGACCGAACCTACAACTCAGGCGTGTGCCCCGGCGGGATCCAACCAGCAAACCTTTGCTTCTCGGAATGATGCCCAGGCAACCGAGCGACACTGGTCAGGGAATTTACTACAACGTCACTGAGTATACTCCCTGTGCTGTTCTTTACATCCCCGTGACTATTTTGTAACTACCCATTTGTACTCAATTCCTCTGCCTTTCCCCCAGTTCCCCAAACCCCCTCTCCTCCGGCAACTGTCAGGCTGTTCTCTGTAGCTGAGTCTGTTTCCACGCTGATTGTTTGCTTACATTGTTCTTTAGATTCCACATGTCAGTGAAATTGTATGGTACTTGTCCTTCTCTGACTGACATTACTTCACTCAGCACAGTACCGTCTGGGTGCACCAATACTGCCGCAAATGCGAAGACCTCATTATTTTCATGGCTGAGTAGTATTCCATTTTCTAATCTGCTCATCTGCTGATGGGCACTTGGCTGCTTCCATAGCTTGGTGATTGTAAATAATGCTGCTATGAACATAGGGGTGCATACACTTTTATTCTTCCAAATTAACATTTTGGGTTTCTCTGCATGTATCCCCAGGAGTGGGATCACTGGGTCATAAGGCGGTTCCACTCTTAATTTTTGAGGCAACTCCATACCGTTTTCCGTGGTGGCTGCACCAGTCTGCATGCCCGACAGCAGTGCACGAGGGCTCCCCTTTCTTCACACCCTCGTCCGTCATCGTACTGATGGCACGTGTGAGGTGATACCTTGTTGTGGTTTTGATTTGCATTCCTCTGGTGACTAACAACGTTGAGCATCTTTTCATGGATCTGTTGGCCGTCTGTATGTCCTCTTTGGAAGCGTCTATTCAGGTCTTTTGCCCATTTTTAAATTGGGTTGGTTTTTTTGGTGTTTAGTTGTGTAAGTTCTTTATAAAGTTTGGTTATTAACCCCCTATCAGATGTATCATTGGAGAATCCATTCTCCCACTCACTGGGTTGTCTTTTCATTTTGTTACAGGTTTTCTTAGCTGTGTAAAAACCTTTTAGTTTGATGTAGTCCCATTTTTCTTTTGTTTCCCTTGCCTGAGGAGACACAATATATTAGTAAGAGAAATGTCCTAGAGTTTACTGCCTACGTTTTCTTATAGGATTTTTTGTGCTATTGAGTCCTATATTTAAGTCTTCGATCCGTGTTTATTCTTGTGTATGGTGAGAAGGTGGTCTAGGTTCATTTTTTTGCAAGTATCTGTCCAATTTTCCCAACACCTGTTATCGAATAAACTATCTTTATCCCATCTTATGCTCTTGCCTCCTTTGTCAAATATTAATTGACCATATAAGTGCGGGTTTATTTCAGAGCTCTCTGTTTTGTTGCACTGACCTATGTTTGTTTTTATAGAGTACCATGCTGTTTTGATTACTATAACCTTATAGTATAGTTTGGTATCAGGTAGCATGGACTCCTCTAACTTTGTCCTTCTTTCTGAAGATTGTTGTGGATATCTGGGGTCTTTTGTGGATCCACAAAAATATTTGGATTACTTGTTCTAATTCTGTGAAATACACCTCTGGTGCCTTGACAGAAATTGCCCAGAGTCTACAGGTTGCTTTGGGGAGTATGGACAGTTTAACAATGTTAATTCTTTCTGTCTGAGAACACAGTATGTGCTTCCATTTATTTGTATCTGCTTCAGTTTCTTTCTTCAGTGTCATATAATTCTCTGAGAACAGGTCTTTTGCCTCCTTGGTTAAATTCATCCCTAGGTATTTAATTTTTGATGCAACTGTAAATGGGATTGTTTTCTTAATTTCCCTTTCTAATAGTTCATTATTGGTATATAAAAATGCAACCAACTTCTGGATATTTATTCTGCATTCTGCTATTTCCCTGAATTTATTTATTAGTCCAGTAGTTTTTTGGTGGAATCTGTGGTGCTCTCTATATACAGTATCATGTAATCTGCAAATAATAAGTTTTACTTCTTCCTTTCTAATTTGGATGCCTTTTATTTCTTCTTCTTGTTGGACTGCTGTGGATAGGACTTCCAGTACTGTGTTGAGTAAGAGTGGTGGAAGTGGAAATCCCTGTCTTGCTCCTGATCTTAGGGGAAATGCTTTCATTGGGTTGGCCAAAAAGTTCATTTAGTTTTTTTCCACATGATGGCTCTAGTAGTACTTAGTTGTCTTTAACTTCATTCGAAACAATTTTGTTAGATTGTATTGCGACAGCTGTCATATCAGCATACATTTTCAAAAAGTTATCAAAATTGGTGAATTTAGGTGTAGCTATTTTAATATTAAAGATGGAAAAAGATATGCAACTTTTTCAGTGTGTTATACTTTATTATTTCAAGGAAGGTAATGACATAACTGAAATGCAAAAAAGAGACTCTTACAGTATATGGAGAAAGATGCTGTGACTGATAGAATGTGCCAAAGGTGATTTGCGAAGTTTCTTGTTACTATTGACATTTTGGCCAAATGATTCTTTGCTGGGGGCCGTCTCATGCATTGGAAGATGTTTAGCAGCACCCCTGGCCTCTACCCACTAGAAGCCAATGGCAGGAGAGAGCCGACATACTCAAAATATCCAAATCAATAAAGTTATTGGTGAAAATAAAAATGCGTCTTTTATTTTACAGAAAACACTAAATGAACTTTTTGGCCAACCCAACAGTTTTGCCCCAGTGACTATGATGTTAGCATTGTCATATATGCCTTTAACATGTTGAGATGTGTTCCCTCCATTCCCACTTTGACAGGCTTTATCATAAATGGGTGCTGGATTTTGTCGATAGCTTTTCCTGGCCCTGCCCAGCATGGCTCAGTTGGTTGAGTATCATCCCACAAAGCAAAACGTCGCTGGTTTGATTCATGGTCAGGGTACGTGCCTGGGTAGCAGGCCAAGTCCTGGAGGGGAGCGTGTGAGAGGCGGCCGATCCATGTCTCTCTTTCACATCAGTGTTTCTCTTCCTCTCCTTCTCCTTCCCTTCCTATCTAAAAATAAATAAAATCTTTAAAAAGCACCTTTTCTGCATCTATCGATATGATCATATGATTTTTTACTCCTCATTTTTTATGCGGTGTATCATGTTGACCAATTTGTGGATATTGTAATAACCTTGATCCAGGAATAAATGCTACTTGATCGTGGTGTATGATCTTTTTAATGTATTGCTGGATTCGGTTTGCTAAAATTTTGTTGAGGATTTTTGCATCTATGTTCATCAGGGATATTGGCCTAAAATTTTCTTTTTTTTGGTAATGTCTTTACCTGGATTTGGAATTAGAATAATACTGGCCTTGTAAAATGAAAGGTAGTCCTCCCTCCTCTTAAATTTTCTGAAATAGTTTGAGAAGGAGAGGTGTTACTTTTTCTTGAAACGTCTGGAAAAATTTACACATGACACCATCTGATTCGGGGCTTCTGTGTGGGTTATGTGAGTCCTCCTGTGAAAAGTAAACTGAATTGCTATTTGCCTGTCAGATTGTGGGGTCGAACCCCAGGCTGGCCGTCTATATGGATCGGCCCAACCGCGGTGTGTGAGCTGCTGTGCAAGTGCAGACCGCAGGGAGCGGAGTGCGCCTCACGGAGGCCCAGCGCCCACTGGGAGCTCCCTCTGGAGGTGCCGCTGGGGCCACCACTCGGTCCTGCTCTGATGCTGCCAGAACCTCCCGTGCGTGGGTTCTGGGTCTCTTGGGAGGAACTCTGGTGCTGATAAATGCCAGTGACTGGTCCTGGGCATGCTGTTTGGAGCTACAAAAACAATGCACAGTTTGTGGCTGCCTCTGCTGGGTCTGGGTGTGTGTAGGAAGGACCAAGCTGCGCACCAAGCCCGGCTTCCACCAGCACCAAGCCCGGGGGCAGGTCGGCGAGGTCCCAGGCACTCTGGGATCTGCCTCTGCCTCTGGCTACCTGTTCATCTCAGTCACTGAAAGAGCCTCTGGCGATACTCAGGTTTCACGAGGCAGGTCCTCAGTGAGTCACCAGGCAGGGGTGAGTGGCGATTACCAGACTGGTAGCAGTGCTGGATCTGAGGCCCACCAGCAAAAGTCCCTGGGCACACCAAGGCTGGCTGCCACCGGCCAGGTGTCTGTCAACCTGTGGTGGTGCAGGGTCTCAGGGAGTCATCAGAGCGAGGCCAGCAGAGTTAACCAGGCCCAAACAGACCAAGATTTGGCAGTGTGAAGGGAGGGCTCTGCACCATTTGGCATATAAGGAGAAATGGACCATGGCAACTGGCCCAGATTCTGCCTCTTCTGTGAGGGTGAGGCACGGTCAGGCTTGGGGGTGGTGCGGGGGAGTTAGCTCTGTCCCAGAGCCACACAATTCCCGGACAGATGACTCCTCTGCTCCGCGGGCCTCTGCTGTTCAGGGCAACAGGGAGTCTGGAGGGCGGGGTTGTTTTCTCCCCTGGAGCTATGGTCCCAGGGAGGGGTGCTCCCTCAGGACAGAGAGCACTCGGCGCAGGGACCCTGGCAGCTGGCCCTTCAGCTCCTTCCCTTGATCCACGAACCCCAGTCTCTCCTCACAGGACTGCTTCCTCCTCCACTGCTCTGCTGGAGCCCACGGTAAGTGTCTGCAGACGAGACCGCGTGTGCCGGACCTTGGCGAGGGCGCCTGGGTTTCTAGCAGAACCCTGTCTCTGCCTAGGGGACAGAGTTCCTGCTGGTTTTCACAGCCAGATGTTATGTGGGCACCTCTTCCCGGCTCTGGTGCTCTGGGCTGTGGGGCCCGGAGTAGGGTTGGGACCCCTCACTCCTCAGGGGGACCCTCTGCAGCTGAGACAGCCGTCTGGAGGGAAGGGCCTGCCCTTTTCCAGTCTGTGCTTTCTGCCAGTCTTGATGGGCTTCCTCCGTAACTCCTTGGTTTTAAGGCTTTCGTTAAGCTAGTCGTCGGTTGGTTATTCAGGCTCGGTGCTCTCTATTTTAGTTATACTTCCAGTTTGGTTCTGGGCGCACGCCGAGTGCAATTTCCGCCTACTCCGCTGCCATCTTGGACCCCTCCCCAGACCCTCTTTAATGAGGGCGGGTATGATGGCCTTGGGGAGGAAGGCTTCTTGGGCCTGTGTTCCCGGGTCTCTCAAGAGGTGGGTTCGGCCCTGCCTCCCTTCTCGCTGCCTCGGAGGGGCTGACCCCTCCCCCTGAAGCCCCCGTGTGCTCATCTGCAAACAGAAATGAGCACACCTGCCCCCTTACTGCTGTGGAACGAGGAGGGTGAACTTAACCCCAGTGGGGACGTCTCGGTGACTCGGACTGAGTGACTGAGTGGCCGGCGACCCCACAGGCAGCACGCTAGCTTGGGGCTGCGTCTGAGTGGTGTGGAGGGGCCGGTCTTACCTGCGTGGCTTGGCCTCTCCCGGACACAGCCTGTCACTGTCCTCCTGACCTCGGGGGTGGAAAGGACAGATCGGAGAGATCAGGTAACTGGCCCAAGGCTCGGGGCAAGTGGTGGTGCCAGAGGTCTGTCTGTCTACTCGGCTGTGGGGCGAGGTAGAAACACTTCCCAAAGCTGTGCTGAGAAGACTAATCAATGATTCCAAAACCCAAACAAACACTCTCAAGAACAGCTCCGATCTAAGTCTCTCACCTTTGTGAAAATTTAATTCCATAAAACGTTTTTCCATGTGTTAAGCTTTATTTCTAATTATGGGTTGCCTCTCACACACCCTCAACTGGGGACCTGGCCCGCAACCCAGGCACATGCCCTGGTCAGGAATGGAACCTGATTCACAGGCTGGTGCTCAATCCACTGAGCCATATGAGTTGGGGTATTATTTCTAAGTATATATGAAAGGCCTTTTCCAATATTCATATTATTCAGAGAAGCTAGAGAGGTTCGCTGTGGAAAAGAGGTCTCGCAACACGAGTTAATGTGTTACCGTGCATGGTAACACTCAGGCTAGGCCACCTTAGAGTTTTATGTTCGAGAACCTTCCCCTGCATCATTATTTGGGTCGTGCCTTCAGCCTCCTTAACCTTTCTAGACACCATATTTTCAGTAAAGAACAATACTCAGTCTCCTGAGAGGAGATGCCAGTAAAAACAAATCAAGGGTTTGCTATCACTGCTCAAATATAATCTTAAACAAAAGCTAAGGCCCAGGGTTCTCGCATCATAACTGTAAATGCTGCTGGGCTCCCTGCTCCGCCCTGGACCCCCCCCAGCCATGCTCCACAGGCAGCCAATTTCAGATGGAAATTGGAGTAAGTCACTCTTCTGCTCCACACCTAACTCGGGGGCTTGCACTTCCCTCAGATTAAAAACCAGAGTCCTTCTGATGGCCAGCAAGGTCCCAAGTGATGTGCAGCTCCTTCCAGTCTGCCCTTGCTGGTGTCGTCTAAAGTGGTGAATTCCCCCGGCCGCCGATCCCGCTCTGTCTCTTTGTCAGAGCGGGACCGCCTTCTAGCCCTTGCTCACGTTTGCTGTTTGTCAGCCCCCCGGACCCAGCGCTGAGGCTGACGGCCGGCGTCTGCTTCTGTGAGGCTCGCAGGTGTGCTCTCTGGACTCGGGCCGGCGGCCGGCACACGGGAGGTGTGGGGTGAACACCGGGACCCGGTGGCTGGGCCTGTTCAGTGACTGCGGGGCAGCGATGCAGCTGCTGGACACCACACTGGGGGGAGATGGCGACCGGAAAATACTCCTGCAACACTGAGTTTAAAAAGACTGCAAAGTACAATGTGGATGATTTATGTTAAAATTATGTATGCACTTACCTTTACTTTCCTAATTTTCTACATTGAAAATGTGTCGCTCTCATGATAAAAAAACAAATTTATTTAAAAAAAACAGTGGACTACAGGGCAGCCCTGTAGGAGAGGGATGGGTACGAAGGGGCGCAGGGAACTTTGGGGCGAGGGCCCGGTCTGTGTCTTCACCACGAGTGGCCCCTGGGGCCGGGCTGGCTTTCATTCCTAGACCCAGGCTCCCCCCGGCGGACTCGGGGAGCAGGGCCGGCTATGGAGCTGAGCAGGGTGGTGATGACACACCCTCCCATTCTGAGCATTACGCACCATGGGGGGAGTTTCACTGACCACCAATTACACCTTAAAAACGCGTCACCTGAAAGCTATGACGGTGCCTTCCAGCCCCCACACTGGAAGGGCCGCCCGTCTGCCCCCACACAGCCCGGGGAAGCCGCCCCGGGCCCTGGCACTCACATCAGCTCTCCCGACCGCAGCAGGCGGATCTCAGCGTCCTGCCCCAGCAGCACGTCGTTGTCCTCCGGGGTCAGCGAGTGTGACGTGGCGTCCCTGAAGTGGCACGAACGAGAACACAGGGTGGCACACCCTTAGGTCTCATCCCTGGGGTCATGAAGCCAACCTCAGACCTCGTGGGAAATGCTTCAGTCTTGCAGGCCACGAGACGGGCCTGGCACACTCTGTGGGCAGAGGGCCACTGAGCGGGGAAAGGACGCCAGTGGCTTCCCTGACGACGTCTTCCCCAGGGGAAGACCGTAAGAGACCGTAACAGGAAAGACGGTCCCTCGTCCCACCCGCAGGCTGCAGCCAGGGGACAGGGCAGCGGCAGCACAGACCCTGCCTTCTCAGTGCCAGGCCGCGACCAGACGAGCCGGCGCTGGTCCATCTCTGGGAACAAGACCAGCACCCAGGGGTAATGGGGTGGGAAACTGTGGGGGCCGAGAGGCAGGCTGTGAGGGCCACCTGGCCGAAGGGACATCCTGTGGTTCCCAAAGTGTGCCTGAGGGGACACTGGTGCCAGGGGAGGGGGGCAGCACAGTCTCTTAGAAAGTCACGGCACACTTCATTTTATTTAGAGATTGTCTTTAGTTTGGAGGGGAAGAGGGAGAAGTGAGGGAGAGAAGCATCGATGTGTGAGAGAAACACCGACCGGTTAGTTGCTTCTTGAATTCACCGCCAACTGGGAACCAAACTTGCAACCCAGGCATATGCCCTGACCAGGGATCGAACCTGCGACCTTTTGCTTTGCAGGATGATGCCCAGCTGGGCAGCACTGATCAGGGCAGCCACAGAATACTTTAAATAGTCACAGTAAATTCAAGACTCTGAGAAGCCCTGCATCAAAGTTATCTATTCCATTTTAACTCTAGTGTTTCTATATTTACTTGACCGCAGAATATTTTTAACCCCTACTGACAAGAAAGAACTGGGGGCAAACCCGTGGAGAAGACCCCGAGTCGATGACCCCCAGAGCAGGGCCCAGACCCTGGCCAGCCCTGCCCCCCCCCCCCCACGAGACGGAGGCGGCAGAGTGAGGCGGGCGGGGAGGGGCTGGGAGCGCGCTGGGTGGGTCCTGCGGTCTGGAAGGTGATGCCCAGAGGCAGTGCTCTTTTCAACAGATTTTCGGACTGTGAGTCACGACCCATTTAGGGGGTTGTGAATCAACTAGGTTATGGCCAACATTAAAAATTCAGAACAGAAATGACTAATGGACATTGTGAAGGTAAGGACTGTTTTATGAGGCCCTTGTTTTGACTTCAAGTCTCCACACCAAAGTAGGCAGGTACGAGGTACTCTTCCTACGGCACCACAGAGGATGTGGGTGACTGTGTTAGGAGGGTCCGAGGGTGAAGAAATGTGACAAGTCGAGGGACCGAAGCAAGGCCACTAGGGGGCAGCCTGTCTCTACCAGACCCACTGCCTCCTGTTGTCACTGTGGTGCGTTTCTCAGAAGGGCGAGGCGAACTCACTGCCCCAGGTGACCTTCCTCCTCCCGTGGCTCCAGCCGTGGCAGCTTGCTGCTAGCTCTGGGCCTGGAGGATGGCGTGCCACGCTTCCCTGCTGAGTTTCTGGGTGGCCAGTACACTGAACCCGTCCTGAGGCACATCTGTGTGTCGTGCTCCACCCTGAGGGTGGCCACCGGCCTTGCACGCAGCCTTTGCCCAATAAATGTCTAGTTATGTGCCTCAGGCGAAGGTGGCTTTCTGTGTCAAATGCCTCAACAGAGGACAGGGCCAAGGCTCCACTTTGGAACCAACGAAGAGTAAAGTGGTGACCACAGACGAGAAAGATGCTGAGGGAGTTTCCGGGAACACGGCCCAGGGCTCAAGCCTGTCCGGGTGACGGATGGGTGGGGTTCCTGCAGCTGGAATCCATCGTATTTTCCTCTCCCAAATCAAAATGCCTTAGTCCCTTTTTAATTTCGTTGCTGTACAACTTCAGTTCTGAAGACTGCCCAGGGAGCGGACTCCCTGCTTGACTAGATTGGCTGGGGAAGAGCAAGCTGCCCAGAAAGCAGGAGCGTCCTGCTGACAATCTCTCCCAGAGGGCTGCCTCTGCCCGGCCACGCCCAGTGCAGTTTGGAGTGGCGCTGCAGCCGATGACACGCCCTGCAGCTCGGCCTCGAGCTGCGACCAGCCCTGTGGACTACAGAGTCTCTGGTTTACAAATGTAGGTCCAGTACAGTAGCCGCTGGCCTCATGTGGCTAAACTCAAATTCATCAAAATTACAAAAAAAATTTTGTTGCCTTGGTTGCACCAGCCACACGTCAAGTCTCAGTAGCCACACAGGCCGGCAGCCATCGTCCAGGCAGCGGGGGTGCAGGACGTGCCTGTCACCGCAGTAGGCTCTGCTGAACAGCATGGTCTGGAGGCTGGGCTGAGGCATCTTGTGCATCTCATTCACTATGGATCAGGGTGTCCTTATATTTTACTATTAAAGTAAAATCCCAGTGCTTTTTTTTTGGTTATCAGTTTCCTTTTGCCTGAAAACCGAGCAAAGCAGAGCACTTCTGGAACTCTGATTTCCGATCACCTGCTAACTATGGCCTGGCACAACACACACCAGCAAGCCCATCCTCACAACCAACACCTGGGGGCGCCGCTGAGCAAGCCACACCCAACTCTCTTTCTGCCTTCTGATGGGGCTACTTTTCTGAGGATGATTTTAACTTCCTCCACAGCCCCCTCACCCACCAATGCCTTGCAGTTGGCCTCTCCTGCCAGCAGCGGTAACTGCCCCGTCCCGGGTCCTGATGGTCCTGGCTGGAGAACGTCAGGTGTTGAGGCCAAGCGAGCAGGTCAGCACTGGCTTCCAAGAGAAATCTGCGGCAGGTGTGGCTGCCACTTCCCCCATCCCCTTCCCTCCATTCTGTTTGGAAAACGTTTCAGGATTCCAGGGGAAATCCAACACAGGTGACTGGGTCCTTGCCTTCCGAGTTTTCTTTCAAGGAAAAGTTAACACCCTTGAAACAATGAACACCACAAACTGCCAGATAACAGAAGGCACTCTGCCAAGTGGCCGAAATAAAATTCCGGCCCCCAGACTGTGAGTGGCTTCAATTCTCCAGTTCAGCTGCAAGTGTTCCACTGGAGACCTTCCCACGGAGAACAGTTACAACGAGTATGTTCTCTCACGTACACATCCCCCCACCCCCAAGCACACAGGGGTGGGGGCAGCAGGTGGAGACCTGGTTGTCCCCACGGAGTACAAGTGACAACTGAGAGGAGACCGCGGCCCAACGTGTCGGCAAGGCTCAGGCCCCTCAACGCCACCTCATGAACTGGTCCTAAACGACATGGCTGGCTTGTCCCTGGGGGAAAAAAGCTCATCTCTCAAAGCTTACAGATTCTAAAACGATAGGCTGGCTCACTCTAGAGGGCTGTCTTGCCCCAAAAGGCGTCTTTCAGAAGGATGGGCACTTTGGCCCACGTCCCTTCCAGCGTTTGGCTTAGCCTGTCCATTTGCTGACTTGTCATAGGTCCCTGCACCCATCCCGCCATCTCCCCACCCATCGGTCCGGAGGTACACAGTTCACACCGCATCACGGTTCCTGCCCTTGGGGAACACTTCATTTGTATCGGCATGGAGGAAAGAACAGTCTGAACTAATTCATTCAAAAAAGACTTTCAGGTGTGTTCTTGGGCAAGCAAGCTGACCTCTCTAATCTATTTCCTCACCAGCAAGGGACTAGGATTGGCCAGCGACAAGGGGGCACCCAGGCCAGGGCCCAAATCCTAGTGGGACTGAGCATTTAGTCTCCAGACTCTGGGGCTGCGTCTGGTCCCTGGTCCCAAAGCTGGACACGCTGCCCTCAGGAAGAGCCACAGGAGAGGGTATGTTCAGCAGGTGGAGCAGAGTACCAGCCCTGGGGCACAGCAAGCTGCAAGGGGGTGCAGAATCAGGGAGGGGAGGTCTGGTGATTCAGCAAGAGGGTAGCTGCTTCTGGGAAAAGCAGCAGCAGAGCCCCTCTCTACCTGGTATCCCTTCCACAGAGGGGAGGCGCGGGGGAATGTGACCCAGGCAGCCATTCCTCCAATTCCTGCCTTCTATTACTTCCCAGAAAACGCCAGCATTTTCGGACCACGGAGACCAACTGGAACAGATACAGTCAGGGTGACCAATATCCAGGGAGTTCCAGGAGCGGAGGGGGCAGCCTCGGGAAACCAGCTGAGTCAGCACCAGCAGGGTGGGTGAGCGCTGCCTGCCAAGGGGCCCAAGCGGCATGGGTTTAGGAGGCAGGGCTGCATCAGACCCTCACCTAAGAGACGTTGGTTCATTGGCCTGGCAATGACAGAGAGCTGGGTTTGCGTCCTGGAAGTGCCAGCTGCATGTGCACAGGACTGTCGTTGCGGGGACGGCCCTCACGCTCTCCCCTGTAACAAAGGGACACCTACTCTACCGGGTGCTGAGCATTGGTGGCCCTCCCATTGGAGCTGCATGTACACACGGCCCAGGCCGGAGCATGGACTTCACATTGGTCCGGATTCAAACTGTTCCTAAGAGACGCGTGACTAGTGAGTGAAATGACTTGGAGACACGGACACCATCTTCAGTGGACTGCTGGAGCCAGGAGTACCTCTTGTTGCTCCCCTTCAGCTTACAAACGACAGCTCTCTCAGTTCCCCGCAGAACAGCTGCCAGCCAGGGGGCAGGGAGTTCACGGCAGTAGAACCACAGCTTCCTATCTTTGACCCGAAATTACATGGGCGCAGATTGGTCATGTGGATGCTGATCTAGGTGATGGGTTAGGTCTCTTCCAATCACCAAGAGTTAAAAACTATTCAGCGGAAACATGGACCACATCACAGAGGGGTAGAGGTAGCCCCTGCTGCTGAGCAGAGCTCATCTCTGGAACAAACTGACAAAGCACCTCAGCTGGTGAGTCATTCCTTGCCGTCTTTATAGGTAAATGCCAGGGCCCCAGGTTCTGCTGTAAATGTGCAGGCTTACGAGTGTACAGCGCAGCTGCTCTGGGTTCGCATGCCATCTCTGCTGTGTGTCGCCGAGGGTTAGAGGGCCGTGGAAATGACTTAATGCGGTGCGGGACCCACAGTGAGTGAGTGCTGGCTCGTGGTCCCGTGGGGCGAAGGCATCCTGCCTTCCCAGGGGGTTGGAGAGTCACTGTCTGTCTGTTCCCTGAATAACCTTTCTGGTTTTGTTTCTTTTGCATTTAATGACAGGCTGCTATGTCAGAATATGGTTTGCTTTCTTGTCTCAATACAGCAGTGTTGAAATTTTAGAAAGTATAAGGGAAATAAGTCACCCTACTTTCACCAGCGGGAAGTGCACTGCTGATTAAAATCTGGTCATTTTCTGTTTTAAAAAATATAGTCAGAGAATGTGTGGCAGAGAGTGAGAGGGTTCACAACCCCCCAGAACTGCAGGGGTGTGTGTGTGCGCACATTTCCAAAGGCAAGGTCTGCAGCTCACAGGAGGCTCCCAGGGGATTTATGATCAAAGGTTAAGAACCACAGTTGACTTTACATTTCTTTTTCACCTGTTCATTGTGACAGTTAATAGTTGATGCTAATTTTGTGCTTACGTTCTTCTGAACAATTTAAGTGTATTAACTTTTTCAAAGTATTAAAAGTACTTCCTAAACATTAATTACATTTTTTTGAATTCTAACTTATTTTAAATTGTCAGACATTTACACTATTTCCAAAGTTGCATATATTACTATTTTTTAAAGATTTTTGGAAATCAACATAGAAGTCTGCTTAGAGAAGATAAATGCATGGTCTTCACATTTCTAGAAGGGAAAAGAATTTCTAATGCTCCATCTGCACAGACCTGTGCAGCCCCAACCAGTCAACATACCACTGAAGTTCACTAATTACCACAACTGACTCTGCACGAGCCCTTCGGGGAACTGCGTAATGTTAGCGCCAGGATCCGGCAACAGCATGACCGGAGGGTTAGAAAGAAAGTCGAGCGGCAGTGGAGATTTGACATCACTCAGGAAAAGCAGAGCTTCCTGTTTCGTACTTGAGACGGTGAGGAAATTTTGGTCCCCTGGTGCCGCCGTAACACACACCCGTCCTCTGACCTGCCTGCCCCCGGAGCCTGGGGAGCTGGAGGCACCGGCTGCCTCAGATGCCTACTGGCGGGCGGATCACCCTCGAGAACTAACATTTGTGGTCCAGGGGAGGGACTTTCTGAGTCGTCTGGCCCTTCAAAGGCGAGGTCTTTCCTTGCAGAGAAAGGCACTTGGTTCCCAGGAAAGACGGAGGGGCAGCACCAGGGCCGATGCACTCCCAGTCAGGGAACGTCTCCGAGCGATCAGAGAGCACAGATGGATACCTGTGCCCTTGTCTAGTCGGTTGCTATTTTAACTTTTCTAAAAGACGCCTGCCTCCTTCCAACTTTGAAATCTGTAATAAAGAATGTCTATTTTAGTTAAAAAAACAAAACAAAAGAAAAACAAAAAACTTCTTGAGATACCAGCAGGGCATGGCACCAGGTCCCCAGAAACTAGCTGCTGTGTGTGGTGACTCAGTAGGCCAGGGCCCCATGCCCACGCCACAGGCCACATCACCTCTATGTCCTGCCTGTGGTCCTTAGTAGAGTCACAGGTCAAAGTGAGAAGGGTCAAGGGAAGTGCCAGCCTTGAAGGGCTGGGGCCCCAGGCGAGAAGGGCAGCAATCTGGGCTTTGCTACAAGCCTCACTGCAAGGCTGGCCCAGGCCTCTGGCCGCCTGCCCAGCTGGCGTCCCGTTTTGACCAGGCCTTCCACCTGCTAAAGGAGGCCCCTCAGCCTAAACTGCTAGTCATGAAGGCCAAGGCCATGTTCCCTTTGGGGGAGATCCACCTCTTAAGAGATGCCTGATACCATAGCTGGTGTGGCTCCATGGGGCAGGCATTGTCTTGCAAACTGAAAGGTCATTCGTCTGATTCTGGGACAGGCCTGGATTGTGGGCCAGGCCCCTGGTTGGGGGCATGTAAGAGGCAACCAATCGATGTTTCTCTCCCTCTCCTCCCCTCTCTCTAAAAATAATAAAATCTTAAGAAGAAAGAGATGCCTGAAGGTCAAGAGTCTTCAGGAAACAGGCTCCGATGGCAGCATGTGACAGGCGGCTGTGACAGAGAACGTTGGGGTTGGGCTGTGAGGAGAATTTCCCAGTTCCTGGTCGGGGGTGAGCTCAGCCACAGTGCTGGGCCCATGTGCTTTTCTACGCCTTGACTTCCTATCAACTATCTTTTAAAATCTATGCAATTGAGAGCAAGAAGGACAGGAGGAATGGGCCACCCCCCATATACCTCCTGGTCTCCGGTCTCCTTGATGGTAGACCCCCTGGAAGGGGAGTATATGCCTCAGCTTCTGTGAGTAGTTCAGGGCTCTAACTTAACAAACGGGGTGCAGGATGGGTGGGCAAGGCCACATGCGAGGCACAAGCAGGTGAACATGATGGGCACTGCTGTGCTGCTCTTCTGAAGGACACCACCCCCATTTCACCCCATTTCACCATGGGCACCCTCTGATTGCAAAGTCAGCACACGATTTTATGGAAGGTGCGTGGTCTCCCAGATGGGTGAGACCCTGAGAATTTTAGGACTAACCAAGAACTCCTTGTCCCATCTGAGCAGTTTCCCTATTGGGCTCACTGTCTCCGGTGTACTAGGCAGTGCTGGCAGGGAGCTGAACAGGGCTGGGTTTAGGAGATGACCACCTGCCCCTAAATGTGGCCAACAGCTGGTCCGTGGGAAGACAGGAGGTGTGAACCCTCAGCCCCAGATATAACTCCTGTGTTTTGACTCATAGGCGTTCGTCAGAACAGACACCATGGCCACCAACGATGATGACTATGATGTCCATGGGCTCTTCAACATTTCGGACAGCAGTAGCCAGGACCATGAACACTTCCTGCAGTTCAGAAAGATCTTTCTGCCCTGCATGTACATGGCGGTGTTCATCTGTGGCCTGGTGGGGAACTCTCTTGTGCTGGTCATACACATTTTCTACCAGAAGCTGAGAAGCCCGACAGACATGTTCCTGATGAACCTGCCCCTGGCTGATCTGGTGTTTGTCTGCACTCTGCCCTTCTGGACCTACGCAAGCATCCATGAATGGATCTTTGGCAGTGTCATGTGCAAAATCCTGCTGGGCACTTATACTTTGAACTTCTACACGTCCATGCTCATCCTCATCTGCATCACCGTGGACCGCTTCATTGCGGTGGTTCAGGCCACCAAGGCCTACAATGAGAAGACAAAGTGGATGAGCTGGGCCAAGGCCATCTGTTTGTCTGCCTGGGTGGTCTCCCTGCTGGTTTCCTTGCCACAGATCATCTATGGTGATGTCCATGATTTTGACAAGCGCATCTGTGGTTACCACCATGACGAGATTTCCACTCTGGTTCTTGCCATCCAGATGACCCTGGGGTTCTTCCTGCCACTAAACGTCATGATTGTCTGCTACTCAGTCATAATTAAGAACCTGCTTCATGCCCAAGGCTTCCACAAACACAAGTCTCTCAAGATCATCTTCCTGGTGGTGGCTTTGTTCCTGGTGACCCAGACGCCCTTCAACCTTGTGAAGCTCATCCGCAGCACGAACTGGGAGTACCACAGCATGACCAGCTTCCACTATGCCATCGTCGTGACCGAGGCCATTGCCTACCTACGGGTCTGCCTTAACCCTGTGCTCTATGCCTTTGTTGGCCTGAAGTTTCAGAAGAACTTCTGGAAGCTTATGAGAGACACTGGCTGCCTCCCTTACCTGGGAGTCTCAAGGCAGCAGAATTTTTCAGAGAACACTTCCAAGACGGGCTCTACTTCCCACCACGCGGAGGCCACCAGCATGTTCCAGCTGTAGGCCTTGCGGGGCTTGGAGAAGCGGCCTGGGAGCTGACAGGAGCAGGGCTGTGTCCTCTGGACGCCATGAGGAAGGCTGTGTTCACGGGCTGTATGTTTTCATGGAGATGTAACCAAATGCTCCGGCTGGTGTGGAATGCTGCTTCTCGGGTGCGAACACATCTGTTCTCTCCTCGAACACCCAGGCCTGGAGCTCAAAGCGGGGTCTAAAAAACTGGAAGGAATTTCCTTCCTGCATCCCAAGAATTCTGACACCAAGGGGAACGACGTGTGACTCTAAAAACCTCTGGTTCTTCTCGGAGACTAAAACTGAAGGTTGAAGCAGGGAGCATGGCCAACGGGGCTGCAGACAGCAGGTGACACTCTGGCCAGAAGACTCTTCTGGCTCCTGGGAGGCAGGGGAGATGAAGGCAGCTGTGGAAACAAGCGCCGGCCCATAGGGCTCAGGCCTCAGTCACCTCGAAAGTGAGATCAGGTTCTGCCTCGGGAGGGGTCTGGCTTTCACACAGGGAGGTGCTTTAATTTTTCCGTGATCAGTCCTAGAGGGACTAGCACCAGGGACCACAAACGGGCCCGAACGAACTGTCTGGCTGAGATCTGCAGTGGCCCCCAGGACGCTAGAAAACGGCGTGCAATGGAGTCTAAGGCTGTCGTGAATCTGAAGAGTGTTTCTGAAACGGATTCCCTGGTGGGTCTGCTCACTTTACAGCTGAATTATCCTGTGCCTCTCACGCACACGCACACACAAACCCTCTATGTATGTACATATGATTCTTACACACACGCATCAAAGAGCATATGATTTTCATGACTAGGAAATAAAGCCTTTTAAGTCTCCAAACTACTTTTACCCCCGGGGCGCCTTCTGCTTTAATGTGGTATGCCTGGAATACATCAAAAGAGATTACTTGTGAGCTCAGAGCACAAGAAGTAAGTCAGAAGCTGCAGACTTTCATGGCACCGCTCTACCAAGGAAGTAGAACACTTGAGTGAGAACCCCCGGCCCCTTCCCTGTGGTCTCCAGCCTCCTGCCAGAATGCGAGGTGCGCCTGCTTCATCTCCGCGGTGTGGGACAGGATGAGGCAGAGCTTTAAATGTCAGACACTGCGGCGCGTTTATCAGATCCTATCTGTTTCGTAGGCTTAGAGCTGTCTTTTTGGTTCATGTGTCACTCACCAAAATCAGAACCAGCCGACAACAGGGGACATGGGTCAGAAGTGGCTGAACGGGGTGGTTTTGAGGTTTAAGACAGACTAGAGTTCAGTCCCAGCATTGTCCCTTACGAGCGGGTAATCTTGTCACCTCTTTCGTTTTGGTGAAACAGGGACAACAGCACGACTCTGACCTCTCGGCGCTGGCATGCGGACCCGAGGTGGTGCGTGCAAAACACTCGCGCAGTTTGGTCTCATGGGCAGGAGGGCTCCACCAGGCAGAAGCCATTGTTCTTTCTCACAAGAACTGGCAACACTATTCAGCCACAGGAAAAGATGAAACGCTGCGATCTGAGTGGATCTTGAGTATTATGCTTACTAAGCAAAGTGAGTGAGATGCAAAAAGACATGGACTGCAACCTCACTCATTATGTGGGATACAAAGCAGAAAGCAACAAACGAACAAACGAAAGAAACACACAGGCCCTGGCCGGGTGGCTCAATTGGTTGGAGCGTCCTCATGCACACCAAAAGGTCGCAGGTTCGATCCTCAGTCCGGGCGCACACCTAGGCTGTGGTTAGATTCTCCAGTGGGGGCTCATGCAGGAGGCAACTGATCAATGTTTCTCTCTCTCTCTCTCCCTCCCCCTTCCTCTTTCTCTGAGATCAATTAGTAAATAAAAAAGGAATAATAAAACACCCACTGACACAAACAGCAGGATGGTGTTGGCGGAGGCTGAGAGGCGTGGGGAGGGGCTGAAGAGGGTGTGGGGGTCAAACACATGGTAACGGAAGGAGACTAGACCTTGGGTGATGGGCGCACAGTGCAATATACAGATGATGTGCCATAGAACCGTACACTGAAAACACATAATCTCATAAACTATGTCACTGAGTGAGTTTTTAAAACAAGAACAAAGAACTAATGACACAAAATGGAAGGCACCTGAGTTGGTGAGGCACAGGTGGGTGTGCTTCCCTCCCGGAGGGGTATGGCACGCCACGCACACTCTGGTCCAGCCACACGCAGGTGGGGCCTTGCAGGGCTCACGCCTACTGCTTCGGGGCGTGCCCACCCGCATCCACGAGGAGGGTTACTTTACTGCACTCAGGCCACGTAGACAACAGCAAAATGGGGGCAACTGCTGGCACCCGGGCTTCTCTCTGACCAGGCACCTGCCGGTCTGTACCACATCTCTGGCCTGTTCTCTGCACATTCTCTCTAGGCTCCACAGTTAGGAGGCCCGCCCACCTGTCCCCAGGACCAGCACCGCAGCTGCATCTTCCGCCACCTTCCTGACTCGTTGGTCACTCACTGGTCTGCCAGTCTCTGGGCCCTTACCTGCAACACCTGGGAGCAGACGTGACTTTCCAACTCCTCCCCTGGTGCACACCATTCATCACTGGTGACACTAGCACAGCCCACGTAGGTCATGGGCTTTTGTGCCTTGACTTCATTCTATCCACGAAACAGCCCGCAAAGTCTATGATCCCACCCTCAGATCTGCTCTTCTCCCTGCCCAATCCTCCCCCTGGCTCACCTGCACCAGCCATCATGTAAGAGGCCTGGTGGCAAGGGGAGGAGAGGGCAGTCTGGGTGGGGACCCTGGTTGAGTCCAGTGTGTCTTGGCTGTGGCCCCAGAGTCTGAAGGTAAAGAACGTGCCTCTCCCTGACCATGTTCCCAACACTTGGTAGAGACCAGAGGTGGCCACACTGTCTCTTCTGAACACCGAGGCCACCTGGGAGAAGCCCAGGAGATCCCCATGGGTGTTCTGGACTGAGGGAATGGGGCTGTGGGAGCAGACGTCCCAAAGCTGCCCCTGCTGGAGGGGTGGAGGCAGAGCGAAGAACACGAGGCCCCGCGCAGTCAGGGCACTCCTTCAGGCCTTCTCCTGCGGGGGCTCTCAGGCGGCACCCCCCTCCACATGCCCAGTCAGTGGTGCACGGGAACAGCCAACACCACTGTGCAGAAGAGGACGCTGGTTCAGAGAGACTAATGCGTGCTAGAGCTCACACAGCAGACCCAGGCGAGGACCCCGGTGAAGAACCTCTTTCTCTGCCCCCAAATGCTGGTAAGAGGTTTCATAGCTCGCCCCCCGCCAGTACCTGCCAGCTCTACTCATCTGAAGGCACAGGCTTCAGTGGGTAGACCCAAGCACAAAGCAGCTTTCTAACCTTAACCATTATCACCATATCCTGTTCTCATTTTGTTTCTGACATAGCAGGTGTCAGATCTCCTGGTCGGTGACAAGCCCACCACAGCTCCCGAAAGCATCTGACCATGAAGCATCCGTTCCAAGGAAACCACTAGCACAGGTGCTCTGGGGGTGGAGACAGTCTGTGGGTGAGTTTAAGCTCAGCATCATCTGGCATCCGGAGTGGTTTCCTTGGAGAAGACTGGTGGGCGAGGTGCCAGGACGGGGCACACAGCAGCAGCCTCGCACGGCTCAGCTCTACAAGGCCTGATGCAGGTGAACCATCACAGACCAGCGCAGCTCCAGAGAGCCTCCCTGGGTGCCAGCTCTGGGCTCTGTGCTTTGTACTCCCCACTCCTTTCCAATCCTAAGAACCCCTAGGGGTGGGCGCTGGCCCGGCCCTTCTGTGCAGGGGAGGGATCTGAGTTCAGGGGCACAGTGCCAAAACCATGCAACCTGCAGGTGGCAGACCGGGATCTGACCAGGGGTATCTGATTCTGGAGCTCAGGCTCTTCATCGCCATGTGGTCTGTTCGTCTGGTCATCAGCAGGGGGGCCAGGCTTCCAGGAAGCCACATGTGGGTGGAAGCTAAGCAGAGGCCAAGGGGTCCAAGACCCAGCCCTGACAGAGTGTTCTGTCCTTCTCTGCCTGCCACTTCAGCCCTGAGAGCAGCCAGTGGGAGCGGCTGACTGTGGGGAGGGTATAGGCCACGACTGGAGGGTTCGGAAGGTATCACCCTTTTATCCAAGGATGGGTGTGTCCCTGCCTCCTGCCACCTCTCTAGCTCTGAGCCACGTGCAGAAAGAAGGACCACTGGGAGGCCGCTCCGAGAGGCTATAGCATCCTGCCAGGTCTCCCTGGGAGTCTGGATTCGGGGACCTCTTCCTGTTCCATCACTACCAGGAGGGGCAAGACAGACAATTCATTAGCTCCCCACAATTCGTGTATGTGTGGGGAGGAGTGGCCACAGGGACAGGGGAGGTGGGCAGGTATTTTCTGTGCAGATGGGGAAATGGGGACCTGGCCAAGAGAGCTGTATTCTTCAAGGTGGACCTCAGGCTGTGGACTGCAGGGAGCAAGTTACCTGGCCCCCTGAGGCTTCAGCACCTTCACCTGAAGTAAAATGGGGAACATAACCCCAGTCTGTGCAAGGCTGGGTGGGAACGAAGTGAGGCCTCGTGCCAACGCTGCTGGCCCAGGGGCGGTACTCAGCAGAGTAGCCTCCCACCACCGGGGTCCCAGGCAGCCTTCTTCCCCAAACATCCGGACTCACACAGTGTTTAATCCCCCGGACCACTTCTGACTTTGAACTTGCTGATTTCTTTCTTGAAGTTTCCCATCAGGGATGCTTATTTACTATCAGGGACTCTATACCTCCCATATTTTCTTGGGACTCCTGGTGTTTTTGACTAGTTTGAAACTTGGGAAGAAAGAAAATATAAGAAAAAGCTCCCACAGATGCTTGGGTCTATCCCTAGCTAGCGCACCGAGAGGGTGTGTGATGAGGCAGGCCCTTAGCTGATGCAGAGGGCTGGCTATTCACCCCAAAACAGGTTCTGTTGGTCAGTTGCAGATCCACCTTGCAGGCTATGGGCCATCACACTGGCAGTTTCCTTGAACATGCCCTGATTTCCCATGACCAAAAAACACACACGTATCGGCTGTCAGAACCCCTTCTGATTTTGTTCCTACTGGGGAACAGGACGTCGAGGGAAAGAGGGCTGCAGGGGATCACTTTCTCATGCAGGCGGCCCCCGCAGGCCCTGCAGCTCAGTCCTGCTCTCCGCACCTCCACCTGCCTGGGAGTCGAGGCATTGACAGGGAAGAGTTGCCTGGCGGTGACAGCGGAGGGACTTAGTGCTCATGGACTGGAACGTCCCCTGGGGACAAGTGGGCCACAGGGGTTGGGGAGAGCACTGCAGGCTGACACAGTCAGGTAGGAATTCTGATTCCAGAAGGAACAGAAAAGGCCCAAAGCCACAGAAGCGACAGTGAGCAGGGGCATCCTCGGGCTGAGCGATCAGGGTGGCTTTCTCCATGGGGCCACCGCAGGGTCAGTGCGGTCACTCTCCGGTGAGAGAACACAGGACGTGGAGGGACACTGAAGCCTAAATCCCCTCTGTGGAGAGCCCCACGGAGATGAACTGCATCGCCGCCCACTGCAGAAGTCCTGGGTGACAGATGTGACAGGTCCCGCCTAGCCTGCCTCTCAATCTGGGCGGGGAGAGAGGAGCAGAGGGCTCAGTACGAGTCAGCCAGAGCCCCAGCGACTGGAAGGGAGGTGCGTCAAGAAGCACCCGGCCCTGGGAGCCAGGCTGACTTTTTGCTGAGCTTCTGAACAGCCAGTGCTTTGCCGGGGAAACTGCATGGACGCTGCCACGGAGAGGAACCTGACCTTTTCCCACGGCAGGTTCCCACGGCGTAAACTCTTGACATTTAATATGGTGGCACCTGGTACAGTTACTACATATATTTAAAAATTGGCAAAACTCTCCTCACAAACCCTGCTGGAAAATAACTAGCCCAGAGAACTGAGGCAGGGGCAGGGTCACAGAGAATAAGTACCAAGGGACGCCCCGTGGGGTTGTCAGCTGTCATCTGCAGCATGGGAGCGGTCTGGCGGTCCGGGTCCCTAATCACGAGCAGCACAAGACAGTGGTGAAGCCCTGGCCGGGCTGGGGGAGTGGAGGGTCCCTGGTGCCGCAGAGCGTGGGCTTAAGGGGCCTGCCCGTGTGTTTACTGCTTACAGAATGCTGGGCCCCGAGAGGCTTCTCAGGAGCTAACGGGGCTTCTGAGAGAACCCACCTACCTACCCATGACAAGGCACACAAAACCCCAGCTTCCTTTCTCACGGCCTTGACACGCTGCCTGAGCAGAGGTTCCAAAGGGTGAACAGAACTGCTGAAGAGCAGCGCACTGCTGGGCCCAGCGGAGGCCGCAGGGCAGGGGCTGCTCCAATGGGCTGGCAGTGTCCCTCGCACATTCATGGTGACGTCCTAACCCCCAGGATCTCCGAATGCGACTGCGTTTGGGGGTGAGGCCTTTAAAGAGCTCAGTGAGAATGAGACCTATAGGGCGGGCCCCATCCAATCAGAGTGGTGTCCTTGGGGGAGGAGGAGAGGGGACACAGACAGCCGGGCACACGTACACAGACGACCAAGGGGAGAGGCACGGTCGCAGTCGAATGCCAAGGACAGGGGCCCCAGGAGAAAGCAAGCTGCTGACTGGACTTCCAGTCTATAGACTATGAGGAAACATTCCTGGTGTCTAAGCAGATGAACATAGCGGCCCCGGCCAAGAAGGGCCTTAATTAATGCTGAAACCAGGGGACCACTGATGTCTCTGGCAGGGCTCCTGCCGCCCGCCCCTCGCCCTGGTGCTCATCGAGGGCCTTCCTCTCCCGAGCCCTGTTCTGAGGCACCTTCCCTCGGGCAGAGACAGCCAGCCCTGCTTCCAAACTTTCCCGCCCCCTATGATAAGAAAGCACAAGAGCCAGGCATTCGGTGAGCGCTAAGGAAATGGAGGTGACATGTACTCACTGTTCAGCCATGTTTGGGTCAATAGAATCGGTCTCAGTGGGTGTTTCAGGCAAGGAGGAGCCGGACTCCTGAACCTGGCACAACTCCTCGTCCGTGATGATGTCGAACATGGTGTCGTCTGGGGACCGGAGGTCCGTGTGTGCGTCTGGACCACAGAGGAAGACCGGGAGGGAAGAGAAACACAGCTAGTTGTGCACGGGTTGGGGAGAGCGCCTTGGGGGAGGGAGGGGGTGCAGCCACACAGGACAAGCCACCAGGGCACACCAAGTGCCCACCCGGCTGCCAGTTCTCTGTCCAGGTGTGTGAGGACTGGCTGCTGGGACATGCCAGGAGTGGAGTGGGGACTACAGACAAGACAATGCCAGCTTGAGGGACTTCTCTCGAGCCCTTCAGTCAGGGCCTTAGAGAGGTTTCCAGCTCTCACCTGAGGCCCCTGGTTTTAGCAGGGAAAGAGCAGCAAAGCCTCGCCGGGAAAGACCCTGACAGACAAGCGAACACACCTCTGTGCTGCAGAGGCTCCCTAAGACACGTCCCATTCACCGGTCCCTGAAAACGGGGTTCAGTCTGATCTGCACATTCACCCAGCCCGCTGGGGTGGGGTGGGTGGGGAAAGACCCTCCCTCCTCGCAAGGAGTTGTAGCAACCACTGTGTTCCTGACCAGGGAGCCAGGGAGCTTGTGCTCGGCTTTGTGGGCCACCGGCAGGAAGGACGCTGTCTGCACGCCTGTGCCCGCGGCCGCCCACAGGCACTCTCTCTCTGCTGTCACGGAAAATGTGAGGGTGGGTCGGAGGTGAAAGAAACGAAAGAACGACAGGGAGCGGGGGAGGCGGTGCAGACAGAAGAGGAGACGGGGCGCACTGGCCATCAAAGCCAGTGCCCTCGGTGCTCTGGCGCAGTGCTCTGCCCTGCTGTCACTAGAACACATGCCACCGAGTCGGGGCGGGCACACTGCTGGACGGCTGTGTTTCAGAAGGAAACTTCCTCCTCTCGTCTGAAGTCTGCGTACGGAAGGGGTTGAGGCACAGGCTGAAAAAGGACCAGCGGCTGGTTTCTCTGTATAGACCCCGCCACAGACGAGCACCAGGAATCCAAACTGAGGTCCACTGGGGGGACCCAGGCAAGGACCGTAATTAACGGAGAGCTGCACTATGTCCACGGATCGGAAGACTCGGCTGATTTCCGACAGAGCTGCAAAGGCAGCTCTTTAGGAAAAGAATACACTTTCCAACCAATGGTAGTAAAACAACTAGACAACAGTATGCAAAAAAAAAAAGGATCTCCATTAATAGTTTATACCATATAAAAAAAATGAACTCGAAATGGATCATAGCCCTGACTAGTGTGGCTCAGTGGGTTGGGGGGGGTGTCGTACCACAATTCTCGGCCAGGACACGTGCCTAGGTTGTGGGTTCGATCCCTGGATAGGACACGTACGAGAGGCAATGGATCAATGTTTCTCTCTCACATTGACGTTTCTCTCCCTCTCTCCTTCCCGTCCCCTCTAAAAATAATAAAATCTTTTTCTTTAAAAAAAGGGTCATGGACCCCAAAGCGCAACCTAAAACTTCTAGGAAAAAATGAAAAATCTTTGAGTCCTCGGGTTAGGCAAAGATATATAGAGTACACAAGGAAAAGAAAAAAATCGATCCATGAAAAAGAATGGATTAGATTTCATCAAAATTGTAAGTCTACTCTCTGAAAGAAAATGAAAAGACAGCTCACAGACTGGGATACAATGTTTGTAAAACACGTTACCTGCAAATAGCTTGTATCCAGAATATATAAAGGACTCTCAAAATCCAATAATTTAAAAAATTGTAATTGGGCAAAAGATGGGAATAAATGCTGAAGCTGTGCAAAGCACACTCCCCACCCGAGCGGTTCTCTGCACCCAACGCGGATGACAGAGCCAGCCGACCCCCTGGGCGGCCTACTCTAATGGAGGGGGAACTGACTACTCCTGACGGCCAGCTGCCCTGGATCCAGGCAGAGGCCAAGGGGGTCCCCAGGGACCGGTGCAGGGCAGTGTTGCCCAGGCAGAGACGAGACTCACTCCTGCCCTTGGCCTGTCAGCGCGGCCTCTGGGGTACACCCGCCGGCCAGTTCCCGACAGGGCAGCCTGGGTGGGTCAGCGAGGCCATGCGGGGCGCAGAAGCAGCAGGCACCCAATACTGCTTCCTTTGACGGCGCCAAGTGAAAGGACATGAAGGAGAACACATCCTCCTTGGCCACTGAGCGAGAACGTGGGCCACAGGGAGAGGGATGGCATGCCAGGCATCTCCCAAGTGTGGGGCGCGGTCCCCGGGTAGGATGTGAGCTGGCAGGGACACAGACCTCCCGTCCGCAACCCTGAACCACACCAGGAGAAAGGTATGCCCTTTTCACTTCTTGTTCGATCCTCGTTACTCCAAAAGGAAAGCCCCGAATGAGCGGCACTCTACTTCTCGCACCTCTTTCATGAAAGCCTGGGTTTGGAAAACACCGACTCCGAGCTGGCTACAGGTGACTCGCCGAGACGGGGTGGTGGGGTGTGTGTGTGTGTGGCGGGGGCGGCACCTGTGGAACACTGAGGGCTGCAGCAGGAGACTGACCTTGGCCGCCGGTGGCCTGGAGCCCAGCCTGGGCTGGTGACCGGGTGGGACTGGGCTGCCCGTGGCTGGCGCCTGAGCTGGTGCTGTCGGGGGAGGCCCGGCCTTCACTGAGCTTCTGGAAGCAGGTCCGGCAGCAGCGCTCCTTCTTGCCCCCGGGCTTTGTCACGGCGTAGTTGTTGCAGCAGTAGTAACAGAAACCTCGGCCACATACCCTGGGGATCAAAAAGCACGGGCCGTGAGGCTCCCGTGATCGGCTCGGCCGGAGTGGGGCTCTGTGCTGAGTCCTGGAGGCCACGTGGCACTTGTCGCACCCGGCTCCGCCCCCACTTCAGAGAGTGGCCTTAAGCCCCATCTGACAAGACTCCAATAAAGCCACCCTAGCAAGCTCCGTGGGAGGATGTTGTTTCCTAGGGCCGTGGGAGGCCAAGACCACCTTCCCCGACACGAGGCCTCAGGCAGGGCCGAGGCCCCCGGAGACGACAGCCTGCCCCTGCTCTGGCCACAGTCCGAGGTGCTTTCTTGCCTACCCTTCTTTGGGCCTTCGGGGTTCTTTGTTCGGGGTCCCTCCAGTGAAGCCTCCGACCCTATCTCCTTGGGTTGAAGTAACACCATTTCCCTTCTGGTCCCTGCAGGCTGAGGGAGGGCCCAGAGCTGCTGGTCTCTGGGGCCCCACATCCCCGTGGGTCCCCTAACTCCACCCGCACATCGCTATTAAAGTCTCTTCCCCTTCAGGGATCCCTGAGTGCCCTGCTATTACCCTAACACACCCTCCTTGCCCAGGTCCCTTACACCCAAAAAGCCCTGTGCTCTCACAGACAGGCAGGCCCAGTGCCGGCACCCGCCACGGCCATCCGGCGAGCTGACGCTGACCTGCAGTGGTGCCGCCGCGCCATCCAGCTGAACTCCCGCTTGCAGTCGAGGCAGTGGGGGGCCTCTGTGTCCCCGAGCAGCTTCTCCTCCGCACTGAGCTTCTGCTGGAACTCCAGGGCATCTGACTTCTGCCAGAGCGCATCCTTGTCCCTGGGACACAGCCATGTCAGAAAGAAAGAAAATCCATGAAAACAAGAGAATCATCGCTGCTTCATTTCAAAAGACCAACTCCAAACTGCCCAAGACACAGAAGGAGAATTCACTTCTACCTTGGAAACATGTCCCACTCTGGGCCACCTGCCACCTCACATCAGTCCCAGACTTCGTAGGACCCTCCCAACATGCAGGCCCTTAACTGACACCACACGTGAAGGCAGAGAGGTGGCCTACGATGTAAACAAGCGGCTCTGGCCACCTCAGAGTGGCTAGCACGGACAAGGGTGACGCACTGCTTGGGCACCTCAGTGACGGTGCATAAGGCCACTGTGAGCTTAAGCTACAATGTGCTGTCAGATTACAGGCCAGTCTGTGTGCTGTGAGCCCAAGGACCACGAGTGCATGGCCCACTCAAGACTTCAATGTGCCTGGGACCTTTATGTTTCTACAGTTTGTGGTTCCAGTGACCACTAATCACTGCCGGGGACCAAAGATTTCCTGGCCTGAAAACCTGACGGGATGCTCATCCCTGCCGGCTCCTCCAAGAGATGGAAATCACTCCCGGAAGCAAGTCTGAGAGAAGTGGGGGGCTCTTCACAAAGGTCTGGCAGTGTCCGAATATGCCCATACACCAGAGAAGACGTGGATGGAGATTTCCTTATTGCTGCTAATGGTCATTTTCGGGTTTAGGGCTTCTGATGTGGGAAGGTTTAATTCTTTCCTAGAAGGAACCCTGGCCACATCCTGAGGGTTAAAGTGGCCCAGCAGCACCTCAGCCCCTGATGACCGTCACTAGAGCCACTTAGGCCCTGAGGGAAACTAGTCCCATCACCAGCCCTCAACTCTGCATCAACCCCAGACCAGTCCCCTAAATCCGAAAGCCAGCACATGGAATGGACTGGCTTTTTAAGCACACGTGCAACTGTTAGGAAGCAGGGAGGCTCATTCTCTGGACCAGCGCTCCTCCCAGCTGGTGCACGACTTGTCTCATCTGCCCCAGGAGGCTGGGCACCCTGCCCTGGGAACTCGGGGAACGCTGAGGACCTGGGCTTCTCTGTCACATACCTTGGGAAGATGCCTGCGCTCAGAGGTCAAGGGCCTGAGTCCCCAAGTCTGCAAACTGATGACATGGGGGCCACGCTTTTAAACCTCCACTTTAGTGTCACCATTCTGCAACCTTGGGTAAATTATTAGGTCTAGCATTGCTTATCCATGGCTGCTCAGGTTCAAAGAAAGGGCTAATCAGAGCGACGTGGCTCTGGAAGGAAAGACCCAGAACCGTAAGCCAAATCTCAGAAACGTTTCGGCCAAAAGTCTGAACCGGAGTCTGAGCAAGCCTCTGCTAGAGCAGTACTTCCCACCCTTGCTCACTGGTGTCTGGAACCCAGTCCCAGAAATTCCAGTTTGGTGGGTCTGGGCGGGGCCTGGCCATGTATATTTTTTTAATACCTCCCCCCATGATTCCAATGTGCAGTCAGGGCTGAGAAGCCCTGCTCTGTCAATTCATAGGAAACACAAAGGCTGGAAGAACATGTTAGATGACACCACAGCGATGAGGTCAGAAAATCCAGACCATGGGCAACTCTACCAGATAAATGACCAGGCTGTTTCAAAAGTAAATTCCAATGAGAAAGTAGTTAAGAGAGAGGGCAGGGAAACCCATAGACTAAAGGGATCTAAGGAAAATATCACCATGCAACGTATGCATTTAATTTCGATCCTGCTTAGGAAAAATTCTAAGGCAATTGAAAAAAATTGGAACCAACTAAGAAACTCGGTGCTATCAGGAGTACGGTTCACTGCTGAGTGTGGCGATGATACGGTGTCTGTTTAAAATGGAGAGACAAGCATTAAAACACTGGAGGATGAAATGGTACCTGGATTTGCTTCAGAATAGTCTGGACAGGTGGGGGAGGTGGGGGGGACACAGGATGAAACAAGATGGGCCATGAACTGAACACTGTGGAGGCTGGGTAACATGCATACCGGGGTGGATGACGCCATTCTATTTCTGTATATTGAAAAATTTTCATATGAAAATTAAAAAAAAATTTTAATGACTCTGCCCAGGCTGGTGTGGCTCAGTGGACTGAGTGCTGGCGTGGGAACCAAAGGGTTGCTGGTTCAATTCTCAGTCAGGGCACATGCCTGGGTTATGAGCCAAGTCTCCAGTGGGGGCGTAAGAGAGGCAACCACACACTGATGTTTCTTTCCCTCTCTTTCTCCCTCCCTTCCCCTTTCTCTGAAAATAAATAATAAAATCTTCAAAAAAATTTTAATGACTTGCCAGTGTTTAAAAGTTAGGATAATTTCACATAAAAATCAATATTTACACCTTCTAAGAACTAAGGTGGCTCTTCTGGGTTCAATGCTGGAGTGACAACGATGGGCGAAAGGGAGCACCTGGCTCAGTTCACACACCTACATTTGCTGCCTGCTCCTTGTATGGTGGTTTGCGAACCCTGGTACCAGGGAAAGTGTGATGGGGAAGGAGAAAAGGGCTCGTGGAATAGGGCAAGGGAAGGCAGAAATTCCATAAAACATTAAACATCACTTACTGTCACTTGAGGCTAAGCACACAGAGATTCTAAAAACATTACAGAGCAACATGAAAACAGCAACCCGGTGCGCACTTGCTGGAACACTGAAACCCACTCTTAGAGTGTGCCTAGGGCCTGAGCAGAACCTGTACGTCTGAGTGTGTGTGTGTGTGTGTGTGTGTGTGTTGTGGGGGGTGGGGGCCCTAACAACAGAATGCAACAGCTGGGCAGGGGACGGGGTACTCCCCCCCGAAGAGTCCTTTTAAGAACAGCCACATTTCTCTGAAGAAGAAAAACGCCAGCCAGCCGAGGTTTAGCCAGCACCCACCTGAGCAGCTCTATCAGCCGTTCCTCCAGGTACTTCTTGGTTCTAGACAGGTCATCCAGGTCAGCCAGCAGCTTCTGGTCATTCCTCTCCCGGTCTGTCACCTCCTGGCAGAGTTTGTTGTAATACTCTTGGATTTCTGCGGTGGCCTTTTCAAGTTCCTTCTGGGTCCTGGAGGAGGAGGGCCCGTTTTCCTGATTACCGGCCCCTCCCGCTTCTCCTGTGTCTCTGGGCTCAACCAGGCCTCTAAGAAGAGGCCCAGCTGCCCTCCCAGCCTTTCCCCTGTCTCAGCAGTTGATGCACTCCCCTAGCCCTGAAGGCCCCCCTCACACACTCAAACTCTTCACCCTCCCCACTACACAAAACACCAGGGGCATCCTGGGAAAGCAGCTGACCTCAGGTCACTCAGAGCACCCAGGTCAAGGTGAACTCTAGGCGGGCACTAAGGTTATGAGAGGAGCCCACAGGGCGAAGCTCAGGGGCTACTGATGGGGGGTATTTGCAAGAGGGAAAGGAGTCAGGACTGGAAAGACAGAGGTGACCACATGAAGGAGTCTCCCATGTCCCTGTAACTACACGCAGGGCCCAGTGCTGAGCACACAGATGGCACTCTGCGAGCTAGAGCCCTGCAGAGGATGCCGGCCGATCCACGCTGTCTTCCAGCCCCTGCCCACCCATTTTCAGCCTGGCTATCGCCTAACGCAGTGCTTTTCCAAGGCCTCTATAAAGCCCAAGGCCCAGCAAGATATTCATAAACGCCCCTGTAAACAGAGATCTCTGCAGAGACAAAGCTGTATCTCATCCAGTACAATGTGGTCCAGAGGCTGTTTCCACCGAAATGATCTCATGGGCGAACACACACCACCATGTTTTATTCACATAAGGAGTGACATAAAATCCAATCTTGGACAGATAGATTATGCAACTCTGAGCAGCTAAAACAACGGCTTTGAGACCTTACAAACAAAATATTACAGCATTTAAAAAAACACAGCACCAACTGAGAAAGTTCTATGGAAACTGCCATGCAAACGGAACCTGGCTAATGGCAGCCAGGGAGAGCCAGGTGAGAAGAAATGCACGTCCAGGTGACTGCGCATCCAACGTGCTCTGGACGTCCCTCAGGGCTGGGGCCCAGGCCTCAAGGGAGGGTGCAGGAGGGATGAGGGGTGGGTAGGAAAGTGAAATCCTTGGCACAATTCGGGGTGCCTGCCTTTGTGGGGGGCACTCGGGCAATTCAGTCCCAGCATCTCCTCCTGCTAAACCTGTTTTAATCAGGCCCCGGCAGGACTAGCTTGGCTCCATCAGGACGTGGGGGGCTGGTGCTCACGACTCCAGGTGGCCCACCAGCCTGATGAGGAGGCGGCCCCGGGGCCGGCCGCCCGCAGGCCCGCACTGTAAGGTTACAAAGTCACGACGAAAGGGTGACAGCGTGAGGTGCTCTGCACAGACCCGGCTCCAGACAGGCTGCAGGAACACGAGCTGGTCCGGGTCCCCGGCACACTCACTCACTCTCAGGAGGCGCTGGGGAGAACCCACACCTAACACAGTGGAAATGAGGAGGAGCTGGAGTCACATCCACAGCAAGGAAACACAGGCAGGCACACACATGCACACACACGCAGCAGTGCCCCACGGTAAAGCCGAACACAACGCTGTCTGATTTGTTTAGGGTAGTTGTTGAGGAAAGACTCTGGAGCCAAACACGCTCTGGGCTCCAACCCTGCTCCTGTCACTTACACACTATCCAGCCCTGGGAGGGCAGCTCAGCTCTTCTGAGCCGAGTTCCCTCATCTCCAATGTGGGGATACACAGACCATCCTCATCGGACTGTGGGCAGGCTCAAGGGCAACTCGACGCAAAGAACTTAAAAATGGTGCCGGTTCCACTTTAAGCATTACTTGCTTGCTGTTGTTATTACCACTATTATATCCCAATTTTTACTTCCTGTTATAGTTTTTCCAAAACATGACATCAGTGAACTGAAACACGCCCTGCCAGAGGTGAGAAAGTGGAATTAGGAGGAAGGCCCCACTGCCTACAGGGAGACGGCCAGGTTCTCTGTGCAGTGCTTCCGGCGTAAGCACTGAGTCTGTGGCTTTTCTCAAAAAAGGACATCTTTACCTCCATATGAGTGGCTGACTTTCTAAATGACTGCACCCAATACCCGCTTCCCTGAAGACTACCGCTGGCCGCATGGAAGGACTGCTCACCAACCTGTCCAAGTTTTCGCGCAGGGCGGCCCCCTCCTCGTCCTTCTTCAGCATGGCGGCCTGGCACTCTGAGAGGTGCGTGCTGGTGCGGCTCAGCTTCTCTCCCACATCTGCCTGGGCAGCCTGGCAAAGGGCACCATGGAGAAGACACCCGGCTCGCAAAAGCACATGGCAGACCCCACAGAGCGACTGCTGGGCACACTGCCCCATCTGACGGGGCCACTTCCAACTGGAGGGGCTTTTGTTTGTCTCTCAGTTCAGGAGGCCAAGGACCTTTGTTTCTGTCTGTGGAGTCTCTACCTGTGATGCACTCCAACTTGTAGTTACGTCCCTTAAGCAGCAGCTGCAACTGGTTGTGGTGGTTGGAGGGGCAGCTGTATCAGAATCTCCTGGCTGGGGGTGGGGGTGGGGGTAGAGGTGGGCGGTAGGGAGCAACGTTCAGTTAAATAAGTCACTGCCCTGAAGACTGTGGTTTCAGCGCCACCCGTTACTGCTCAGTTCAGTCACTGACCTAGAGAATGTCTGCAGAGATGACTAAGAACGACCACTGATTTCCCTTCCGTAAGGCTGGGTGAAAAACACATTTGGCAGTTCCAGCTGGGGTCCAGGGAGTGGAAAAGGACCATGATACAAAACTCAGGATGTCGGCAGAAGTGAATTGACGACAGCTTCAGCTTGGGACCTGGAAGTCCTACGGGGAGCCCTTCGATGGTCCAATGAAAACCAAACCAGATCCCCTCTTCCCTGAGAGGCGCCCACGTTGGGAGTGGAAATGACCAGGCAGAGGCCACCGCACCGGCCTCTCCCACCCAGGCACCCAGCTGCTGATCAGGCTCCCAAAAGCACATTCCCCTGGGCCAGGCCTACCTCCAGCCTCCCCACCGCCTCCTTGGCGGCCTGCAGCTGCTGGCCTCGCTCCTGGAGCTGGCCCTGGAGGCTCCTGCACTCTTCATTGGCAGTCTGGAGAGGACGAGAAAGGGATCACAGAAGTGGGGTTCTTGCTCTGAGGGTCCCTTAGCCACATCCCCCAAAAGGGTAAAAACCAAGCTACCTTCTCTTTTTGCCCCCAACTCAATAAGCATTGGGCTTCATTGGTAACAAAATTTTTTCAAGCTTAATAGGAGACTTGGCTTGGTCACCAAACTCAGAATTGCTTTTCTACAAGGGAAAAAGTAGCCTCTGAGCCACATGGTGCTGCATGGGATGGGGTGACAGGGTAGGAGGCACATCTGTGGAAACAAATGCCACAGCTGCTTAAGAGCGGAGCATCGGAGCGACCTGAGAGTGCACAGACCTGGACAAATGATGAGCACTGGAAACCAGAGCTGTCCTGACCTCTAACCCCTTCCCTTTGTACAGTATCAAAGGCCTGTGGTAATTGCTGTTCTCATCTAGGCCAAGGGCCTTGTGACAACTAATTGACTCGGTTTCCCTCCAACTGTACCTGCTTCCAGAATGGCGCCTGAAGGGACAGAGATGCCAGGAGCAGGGCTCCAGGCAGCCAGGAACTGCTGGCATTCTGCAGTGGGTTCTAGGCTACAGCAGGGGTCTCAAACTCATGTGCCCGAAAGGGCGGGGTGACTGCATAAAGGATTACAAGGAAAATGATGAGGGTGCCTGTCCCCTTTGATGTAGGCAGCACCCCCCCGCTCAGCTCCTGCCCACCACTGCCACATGGGGTTGAGAGCACAGGCTTTTAGATCTCTCAAGATTTCAAAAGAAGCACCCAAACTGAATTTGTAAACATCCTGCTCTTTACATGTTGAATACTAATTTAAAAAAAATATCCTGTGTGGGCCAAACCTGTCTGCAGTGGCCTAGAGTTTAGACTTTTGGCTAAGGCATCGCTCCTCAGCATCACGCCGCTAGCATTTCCTGCAGGGTGATGCTGAGAGCAGAACGGGAGCATTTGCCTGGGCCTTTAGGACATTCTTGGGCCCTCAGGTGCCACATGGCTGAAGATGCAACCTATACCCTCATGAACCCATCAGGTCCTGCAGCAGGAGATAGGTGTGGCCCGGGGCTCAAGGCTAGGGTTACCTTAAGTTTACTCTGGTAGTCCATGATCTCGGTGCTCATCTGGAACTTGAGGGTGTCAAGCTCCTGGTGTGCAGTCTCCTGGAGGCTCTGGGCCCGCTGCTCGGCCTGGGCCAGCTGGTCCTGCAGACGAGGCAGTAAGGTAGCTGCCTCCTCAGCCACCTTCAGCTTCTCCTGCAAGCCCTCCTTCTCTCGCTGCAGCTCCGCCACCTGGTGTTGCAGATCCTCTCGCTCCCTGGAGGCTACCTCTTTGGCATCCTGGAGCTCCTGGATGGTGCGAGCCAATACACCCTTCATCTGCTCTTTCTCAGCAGTCAGTGCGCAGACCTGGATGCCAAGCTCAGCGGTGTCCGTGTTGGCCCGGTGCAGTTGCTCCTGCAGCTCAGCATGTTCCAGCTGGGCTTCCTGGGAGCTGCATTTGGCCTGAGACAGCTCTTCCTGTAGGGCGTGGAGCTCCTCCATCTTCAGATGGGCCTCCTGGGCCCTCTGCTCCTGCAGTGTCCCCTCCTGCTCTGAGCACTGCAGCAGCTCCTGGACGTGGGCTCTGTTGAGGGCTTCGTTCTGTTCCTTCAGTTGCTGCACAAGGGCCTTGTGCTCCTGCAGAGCTGCCTCGGTCATGTTCAGCTGGCTCTGTACCTTCTCTTGGTCACCCAGCGCTGCCTGGAGCTTGGCCCGAAGGTCCACCACCTCTGCCTGCACTCGCTGAGCCTCCCCCTGGTGGACCTCCAGCTGCGCCTGAGACAGGACCAGCTGGGCAGCCAGCTCCTGAGATGTGTTTTCTTGAAGTGAGCTGAGCCCCTCTTGGCCTTTTTCTGCTGTGAGGGTCTTGATCAGCTGGGTCTGCTGTTGGCACTGGCTCTCCAAAGCTTTGAGCTCCCCTTCCCGGGCCTCTGCCAGCTGCCGGCCCTGCTCCACCTGCTCCCGCAGCTGCTGGCACTCGACCTCCTTGCTCTGCAGAGCAGACTCCTTCTCTGCCATGTGGGCCCTCATGGTCTCCTTGGCCTTCTTCACAGCCAGGAGGCTGGCTTCCATCTGGTCACCCATGTGCCGGATGCTGGCTTGCTCGGACTCCAGGGAAGCCAGGGAGCCCTGGATGGCTGCCTCCCGCTGCTGCAGTGCCTGGTAATCAGCCTGCAGGGCCTGCAGCTTGTCCTCCAGGAGCTGGTTGCGTGCTACCACACTCTGCAGCTCCTTCTCCAACTCCCTGTTGGCCTGCTGCAGCTCCTCCTCCTGGCCGCTCCCTTCCATTTTGGTATTGCCTATCGATCCCTCCTGCAGGCCTCTCTGCTCCCCTGGCACCTCCAAGGCCTGTTGTGGGGTGGAATCCTGAAGGGTGGAATCCAGAGCCTCATTCCTCTCACCTTCCACAGGCAGACCTGAGCTTAGCTGCCCAGCAAGCCGCTCGAGTGTCCCCACCTTCTCACTGAGGTGGTCTTTGTCCCGGATGAGCTGCTTCTTCTCTTCCTCCAGGTTACTCACATGCTGGCTCACCTGTGCCAGCTGTGTCTCCAGGAGCTGCAGCTGCCGTATCAGGGACCTGGCCTCTTGCTGTAGCAGCTCCTTCTCCTGTGCATGCCGCTTCTCCTCCTGCCTCACCTCTGCCAGAGCTTCTTCTGCGGAGCTCAAGTGGGTCAGCGCCTCCTGCAGCTGTTGCTGGAGCTCGGTTGCCTCCTTCCTCTTCCCGGACAGCTCCTCCTGGAGTGAGGACGTCTCCCCCACGAGGTGCTCCATGCCAGCCCGGGCCTCCTCCTTCAGCTGCAGCTCGTTGGCCAGCTGCTCCAGCTGGGCACTCTGCTGCCTGTTGAGCTCCTGGACCTTGGTGTTCTCTTGTTCTAGAGCTTGAAGCTTCTCCCCCAGCTCCTGGATCTCCCAGGCGGAGGCATTGGGGATGAGCTGCTGCTGCCCCTCTGTGTCTAGTGCCACATCTGCCTTCTGCTCAGCTGTGCCCGGCAGATCTGGGACACTAGCTAAAAGCTGGTTCTTCTTGCCCAGTGAGACCCGGGTGGCCTGGAGCTCCTGTGCCAGCAGCTGTAGCATGGGCTCCAGTCGCCGCAGGCCCGAGTGGCGGTCCTCATCCTTCTCTGCAGCACCCAGTTCCAGGGCCTGCAGGCAGGCCTGCAGCTCTGTCATGGTGTTCTGGGTGGCCTGGGTGATCTCCAGCTGCTTCTGGAGCCCAGCCATCACGTGAGTGAGGCGAATGTTGTCCTGGGCAGCACTGCGGCCCCTCTCCCTCTCCATTTGCAGCTCCTCTCCCTGCGAGCTGACAGCTGCCCTCAACTCCTGGTTCTCTCTGTCCAGCTGCTGTATGCGCTCCTGCAGCTGCTTCTCCCGCATCTCCAGCTGGTCCAGCTCCACCCGCATCTCATCAAAGCCCTCCAGTGCCTCATTGTTCAGGGTGCTGCTCAGGTCAAAGCTGGAGGCCATTTCCTGAGTCTGGGGAGGAAAAACAAGAAACAAGGGGCTTTGGGATGAAATGACATGGTTATTTGGAAAAGCTTTAGAGTTTAATGAGAACAGGAGGAAAAACAGAGCAATGACATAATCTTAGGACAGTCCATCGAGCTATTCAAAGAAAAGCCCTTTGCTCACAGCACCTGCCAGCAGCACACCCTAAAGACCCGATGCCACACACTCAGGACTCGAATTTGCCACTGAGCCTCCTACAGCTTTAGCAGCATAATGGAATTTTGCTCTTAAACAACTTGTTATATTTCAACTATGGTTCACCATCGCACTGTATCCACAACTCCTATTGTGATTAAACCACAAAATACAGCAAAAGGTTAGTCAATTTTCTACTCGTAATGCTGACTGATTACTTTTATTTTGTTTTGTTGATTAATTTCAGTGGTCTTTCCTATAAAACCACACACAGCTATGATGTTCAAATTTCTAACAAAGAGAACCCCCCTGGGTGGGTGAGCATAAAGGTGAGGCTTGCCCTCAGAAGGCTGAGGCTTCCCGGGCACCTGTCACCTTCCCGGGGGCACATAGGTGGCAGGCGACAGTCTGGATCTGACTCCGTTGCTTTCTACTGCAGTGTTAACTGCTTCTTTTCAAATATTTTTAGAGCCTTGAAAAGAATTTAGTTTTTATGAAGCCTAAGTTCTACTTGGCTGTAAAAACTCAGACCCTAGAAAACAGTGGGTCTCGCTCCGGTTGGAAGAGCAGGAGTCGGAGAACGTCGCCCTGAGCTGCGAAGGGAAGGACACGCACTGGCTGGCGCTACAGTGAGGCAACTGGCAGCCTCTCGCTCGGCATTACCTGCAGGTAGCTGCTCACCAAGCTGCTCATGCTGGAGCTTCGGCTGGGGGGCTTCCACATGTAAGCAGAGGAGCCGGGGGACAGTGTCCTCCTGCGGGGGCCACAGAACAGACACACCTGTGTCAGAGCAGGACACACACACACACATGCGTGCACAAGCCTGATGGGGGCAGGTGGGATTTCCCGGTCAGAGAGTGTGAAAAGGCAAACTGAACAGTTTCCACCAAAGAGCATATCTGCATTGGTCTGTAGCAAATGGACTCCATCAACAAAGTTTAAACACAACGGCCTTTGTCCCAGTGCCAAAAAAGAACTAAGTGAACAGGATGTTTCCCAACTCTGGGTTTAAATTTTCCTTAACTTTCAGTGTCTACTAGTGAGGCGGAAGGAGCGGTCAACCTGGTAAATGAAGGCCACATTGTGCTCAGGAGCCCACGGCCACTGCGTCACAGACTGCTTCCCGCTCAGGTCGCTGCAGAGAACTCTGCCTGACAGCCCATGACGCAAAGACTTGTAGGAGGATCCCCATTTAGCAGCAACAGGGCAGAACAAACACCTTTCCGCTTCAGCAGAGTCTCCTCCTTAACCTACAAGTATCGCATTTTAAAGCTGCTGCTCTCCGCAGCCCAGCAATCCCGCTTCTCAGGCTCTGACCTACAGAGGGTCACACGCACGTGCGCAGGGGGCACACGGGTGTTCCTGGCAGCACTGTCTACAATGGGGCAGAGAGTGGAACCTGTATCACTAGGGCGACAGACAAGCTGGTTTATCCGTGTGGCAGAGCACTCCGCACCGTGGGTCAGCAACCTTTTGTTGGAAAGGGCCAGACGTAAACATTCTGGGCTTGTAGGCTGTATGGTCTCTGTCAAAACTCAACTTGCCAACTGCAGCATGAAGGCAGCTGCAGACTCTGCGGTTGTTACACACTGCCCTACAGGCCCTAGCTGCGGACCCTACTCTACATCTACAGAACTGCAGCCCTGACTGGTGTGGCTCAGTGGGTTGGGTATCCTCCTGAGAACCGAAAGGTTGCTGGTTCGATTCCCAGTCAGGGCACATGGTTGAGGGCCAGGTTCCCAGTTAGGGGTGTGCAAGAGGCAACCAATGGGTGTTTCTCTCCTTCTCTTTCTCCCTCTCTTCCCGTCTCCCTAAAAGTGAATAAATAAAATCTTTAAAAAAATGCATGTGCCAATACAGATAAAAATGTCAAAAACAATGGTGAGCAGAAAAAGCAAGTTGCAGAGGGATAGCTACCTCATGATTCAAGCATGCAAACCGAACTGCATATACAAAAACACTTATGAATACAAGTCCGGTAAAGTAATTCTTGCCTGAGTTATCAAATGGATGCTACAACTAACAGATGAAAGACTGAAAGAAACAGGATGGTAACCTAATCTCAGAGTGTCTTACCATAAGACACACATTAACCACAACGGCAGACACAGTCACTTTAGGGGGGCCCCGGCAAACACCGCCCGGGCCAAACTGTCGCGGTTACCTGAGCTCACAATGGAACAGAACAACTCCACGTGTCCCCAGACAGAATGCACCTCGAAGGACATGACCTCTGAGGTATTCCTGCCAAAAATGCTCAACCTGAGTCTGAGGAGGAAACACGAGGCAAACCCTCATTCAGGAACATTTTACAAAGTAACCGACCTGTGCTTTGCACAATGTACTACGAAACACGGAAGCTGAGACACTGTTCCGAATGAAAGAGGACTGTCTCAAATTGGAGACACGGAGATAACCACACCGTGTGATCCTGGATTACGAGTACAAGGGACATTATTGGGATAGTTCTTAGTACTTACACAAGGTCTGTAAGTTAGATGGTAGCATTGTATCGACATCAGTTTCCTGATTTTAATAACTGTACTGAGGTCCTGTCCCAGATTTTAGGAAATACACACTGAAGTATACTGGAGTAAAGGAAAAGCAAGCCTGTAACTTACTCCCCAGTGGCTTAGGAAACAAACCAACAGGTGGAGATGGAAGAAGGAGAAAACGCTCCTGGTAAAGTACTGATAACTGGGGTAGCAAGTCGAGGTGAACAGGTGAGTATCCTGTGCCCCTTTTGCAGCTTTTCTGTAATTCTGAAATCATTTCAAAATCACTAAGTCACACGTGATGTCGATGTGGCAAAACGTTAACTATTTGATTGTACACGGGCATCATTATATTCAGTGCTGTTCTCTACATAGAAAGTATGTCCTAATACAAAATATGAAAACTGAAATTTTAAAAGCCTCACAAACAAAAAGCAAAACAAAGAGAGAAGGCTGGACTTGAGTCTGGTGCCCTGGCCCTGCTGCCCACCAGCTGCGTGACTTGGGGGGAGTCCCTCCCTCTGAGCCTGGGTCCTCACCCCTCCCTCCCTCCCGCGGTGCTGTGAGGATTCAGTGGGATGCCGCGTGGAGTGCCATCCTGGTGTAAAAAGTGAAAACACGTTCCAGCTTTCACTCCCTCTCTGACTGCCCAGAAGGCCTCTGTGATAACCCCTAAGATACGAATGGGAAAAAGCCCCTGTGCTCCTCCCCAGACTTTCCCACCAGGCCCCTTAGCTTACTTAAAAGCCTTGTGTTTTGCACAGGCACTTCCAGACTCACTCATACCACCTGGCCAGTCAGGTTAGCTGAAGGCCGGAGCCTTCGGATGTTATTGTGAGTCACGATTCAACAAAGTCTGTACAATTAGCAGTACAACAAAGTCTGTACAAGGCCTAAGTGTTGCAAAGCTTTATATCTTTGCTGGGCAAACAAAAGTGCTTTCAGAAGACTGGCGGCAACCTTCGAACATCCAAGCATCTCTCCCCCATCTTTTAAACCAAGCGATGCTTCCAAATACCTGGCAAACGTTGGCCAGGCGGCATCTAAGTCGTAGCCTCTGGACGCCAGGTCAAACTGCACGTCGGTCAGTTCGTAGAGCTGGCCCACAATGTCAGAGCTCAGCCTCGGCTTCAGAAAGGGGCTTCTCTCATAGTACCAGTCACTGCGGGGAGACAACGAGGTACGGATTACAAGACTAACACAGGTGCTCTCAGTATGCCTGGGCCTCGCCCGAGTCAAACTTGGGTCACTAAATTACATACACAGACAGACACCCCCCCACCTGCTTTTCACTGCAGGAGCACACAGCTCTCAAAGAAGCTGCACCTCCTCATAGGAACTGCTGGGATGAACCAGACATTTACGCGCTTATTATTTCTATCACAGCTACTTCCCAAAAAGGATATGAGCAACCTTAAATCTAATCAGCTGCCAAGAAAGGGTGGCCGCAGGGGGAAGAACACTTCCTTTGTGACAGGTAACTAACCCGATCTATTCCTTCTGGAGAGTTCAGTACAGGACATTGAGCCCACTGCTAATTTCTGTCTTGACACCAATTTAAAAGACAAAGAACAAAAGCTCTGCACTGTGTGTTGGGTGTTTCACTCCCCGCGAGTGGGAGGGATTTAAAAGGACAATGCGGATGAGTTTGAAGGGCATCTTGGCTGAGTCTGTGAACCGTGGTCCCCTGGCAGCCAGGCTGCCTGTGACGGTTTTCCCCAACGTCTGCGACAAAATAACCTGCATATCCAATGTGTTCCTGCAACTCACATAAATTCACAAAGCCTGTCGCGTGTCTCGTGCATGAGAAATACGACTCTATGCAAGTCCATCTTAAAGGTGACAAAACGAAACAAAGTGTTTCCCCCAACAGTTCTCTTTTAAAAAGTTCGGAAGTGACTTCTTTGGTTAACTGGAGGAGCACTCGCCAGGGAGAGGGGAGGCAGAGCGGGAAAGGGGTTCGGGCCCCCCGGAAGGTGCCCGACCTGTAGCTCCTGGTCCGGCCGCCTCTCCCTGGCTTTACAAGCTCAATTCCCACCTCCATCGCCACAGGCTCCGTCACTAGTGGCACAGAGGACCCCAAACTGGTCACTGTCACATCCTCCAGGAGCCCAGTCATGCCTGGCAGGTATTAACTCAGTGTCTGAGTTACCTCAGTGAGGCCCAGACTCAGTGGTGTTAAAAGCCCCATGGGGAATTCTGCCGAGAGGCCAAGGCTGCAACCCACTGGTGACCAGTGGGGTGTGTCCATTCACTAGGGCCAGCACGAAGAACAGGGCACACCCCAGGGACAACTACCTGGGAACAGGAGTCAAGCGAGCTGGACCCAACTCCTGCTTTACGACCAACTCAGTGTCGGTGGGGCCTCGTGGAAGGCACCGAGTGCCTCCCTGAGCCTTGTGTTTCTCACCTGTAAGCGCTCAGTGCTCTGGTCCCACGAGTGTCGGGGACTGTGGTTGGGAGGGGAGGGGACAGAGCTGGGAGGGCTCTGCTGTGCTGGGTGTGCCCCAGACAGGCACTGCAGCTGTCACTGCTGACCAGGGGACTCTGGTTCACCTGTACACAGCACGGGGCCAACCCAGCCCTGGCCTGCCTGTACCTGGTCACTTTGGTGTTCATGAAGCACTGCTGCAAGGTGTCGGCCAGCCTCTGGTGCACCAAGGAGTAGCGAATAAATGCCCTTCCTTTTCCCAGAGACGTGCGGAGCTGGAAAAAGATGACACAGAAATGAAGAACCATTAGCCGAAGTCTGCCCAGACACCTGGCCTCACAGACGGCCTGCAGCAAAGAGAGACAGGGCAGAAAAGGTCACCCACCTCTACCTACACATCGGCTTCACTCACCTCCCTGGAAGGACCTGAAACATTTGATAATGCCACCCCTGAGCGTGAGGCCTGAAGTGGGTCGACTTCTTCCAGGCTTCCACGCAAGAATGATCTACAGACGCCGGCAAACGCGTTAGGAAAGATGTGCCCGCGGGAGGCGCCCCGACGCCTGCGACTGCACTGCAGAGCCACTGACCCGCCTCCACCCCACCAGGCCCCTGGGATGGGAGTTGGCAGAGAACTGCACGGCTTACTTTGGAACACTCAGAATACAGCTGGGAAGGACACGAAGGGCTCTGCACCCCAGAAGTGAGCCTGAGCGAGAGCGGGTCTCAGTGTGGCTCATGTCTGGGCTGTTTGGGGGCTGTTGGGAGAACAGACGCAGGGGAAGAGGCCTATCCGGCTTGGCTGGAGTCTGTGGGGGGGGGACGACAGAGGGCAGGGGTGCGTAAGGGGGACTGAAAGGAAGGTATGATGGGTGTGGGACTGCCTCCTCTGTGTTCTCATGAAACCGCAAGTAAAATCCACGCACCTGTCAACTTTCCTGGTGGGATTTCTCCTCATCTGTGCCCACTCACTGCACTTAGAAGGTGCCCAGGGGTGAGACCGGGGAGTCTCTAGGTGGCCCGGTCACACTGGGGTGATGGGAAAGTGGGCACGGTTCTCTTTCAGGCAGTCTGAGGTGGACGGAGGGCCCGGGCGCAGGCCTGTCTCGACCCCTCTCCCACCAGACAGAGCACAGAAGCCTGTTGTGATGGAGATGGGTCTGCTGGTCAGAAACTCTGCCAGCTGCAGACAGAGCCACTGAGAAAGACGGGGTCTAGGGGCCACCACGGAAGACACATGAGGCCAGTTTGTAAATCAGGGTTCATACTGCTCATATCTCAGCCCAAGATCAAATACCTTTTAACTCAGAGCCACACAACTTCTTACTGCTGACTCGAGGAAATGATACCACAACATGTTTTAAACAACAAGAAGGTGTAAAACCCCAAAACTGTAAATGTTGTGAGATATTTTCCATGTGAGTTTTGTGGGTTTGGGGTAAAAGTCAAGATACCTGGAAATGGAGGTGGGAGGCAGCCTGACCACTGGCTTTAAAAAGCCCACCATGGCCTGTCTGCAGGCAGCTGGGCAGGGCAGATGCCCAGCGGAGAAGCTCGGTGACAGCCCCAGGTCTAAACACTTCTGCCACTGATGAATGCGGTGAGAACACAGTGTCCAGTGGGGACGACTAGGAGCCTCAGGCAGCTGAGAACAGCTGAGCTGGGGACCGTGAAGCGAAGCGTGACAGTCGTGCAAACACACATCCACACGAGGCCCCAGGGGCTGAGTCAGAACCTCGCAGAGCAGCCCAGGTCTGTGAGCTCCCAGGCAAGCGGCTGGTCTGTATTAGCAAAATGACCACTGTAACTGCATTTAGTGCATTTAATTTTTTTATGGAAAACATGAGTCTGTATTTTTAATCAGGCCTGCTAGCTGATTTTATATACTTATATAAAAGGAGCTATTGATTTTAAGAGGTCTTTTAAAACACCCCTTGGTGAAGAAAACAGTAGCTTCTTTGTACTACAAATGAAAACATGGCACAGCCTTTTCACTTTCTATTTTTTGAGATCATGGGTCCGCTTTCATTACCTAATTCCTGAATTTTTTTCAGCATTTAATCACAACTCACGTGCACTGTACTGGGAAGCGATACAGCAGCAGCTAAGGCAGGAAGTGTGCAAGGTACATGGGAACGGACTGAGCTTTAAGCCTGGCCGCAGGAGCCTGATGCCAGGCCGCACCCGGCCCCGCCCCTGCCTGCTGTGGTGGAAGGTGCCTGCAGTCCAGGTGGACCCCGCTGTGGACCTGCAGACGTGGCTGGCGGGAGTCTGGGACTGCCTTAGTCCAATGGCTGCCTCCACCCCAAAGGGGCCTGCGGGGCCCAGTGATGCTCCCTATCCACTAACTTTTTCCTCCTGGCTTGTTGGACTGGCTGGCACTTGATTATGGACTCAAGGTGACCCGAGTGTCCAGCAGCCCACCCTGCTGGTGACGTCCCAAGCCATTCCGCCCAATGGTGCCCAGAGAGCGGAGCCCTCAACAGACGAGACAACTGGGCTCTATGGGAAGTGGAGCCTATGCCCACCACCAAAACCCCAGCGATGTCTGAGCAAGCAGGGGATGCTTTTGCTTCTAGGGGACAGTCTCTCTGGCCTGGACAGGCTTCACTGCATTGCGAGAGAAGGTACGCAGGCGTAAGCATTTCCTAACCCTAGGCTTCAGCTGCTGGAAGTCAGGACATCGAAGGCTTTGGCTGCCGTGAGGAGTGGAGGAGACGAGAGTGGCGGGGAGACTCCCGGGTGCATGAAGAAGAGAGCACAGCAAGCGCCCTCTCCAACTCCACGATGCGTTCAGCTGCTGACCTACACCACGACCTGGGCGTCCTACCAGGCAAGATGCCCCGAGACCCGTCTGTGCTACCTGGACATTAAAGAAATTGGCAGAGCAAACTCCTCCGAGTCAGGACACTGCCTCATCAGCTCAGGTGCCAGAGGGTGCAGCTGGTGGAAAGTGTCCAGCCCTCACGGCCAGCCTATCTAACTGCCACTCGCTGTAAGAAGAAACCCATCTGGCTCCAGGGTGGAGCAGGAATTCTTCCCAGAGCCCCTGACTCCGAGGTCTCTGCCGGAGGCCAGCCAAGGAGCATGTCTGTGGGCCTTTGGGTGTCTTTAAACTTGCAGACAAGAAACCGAACGAGAAATGTTCAAACACTTTAGACCTCCCGCCCTAAATCTAGGGGGTTCCTTGCTCCCTAATGTGTGAAGTTCCTTACTCCCAGATGGACCAGGCTTTGAGAGAAAAAGAGATTCGTTGGGAGTGGAAGGTGGGGGAGAGGCAGAAAGAGAGACAGACTGTGTCGGAGTTTTGTAAAGCAGCCAACCATGGCACTCTGCTCTGGGGACTCGGAGCGTGACGTGGGCAGCTAGTTAGCACACCAGCATTTTAGCATCTCTTAGGTTCTCACATTACTCTCTTCATTTCAATCCAGGTTTTCTGGAAACACTGTAGGGAAGGCAGCCTAGAAAACATTAGGATTTCTACCTGAGAAACTCACTTGAAAAACAAAATGCTGTCCACCTGGGGGGGCACTGTGGGCAGAGTGGGTAAGGTGTGGGGCGTGGGGCGCGGTCTAACAATGGCACCGGCTTGGTAAACACTCACACAGGTGGCTTGCAGACACTGAGTGTCCCTGGACTTGACTTCTTCTTTTTTTACATTTTATTTATTTATTTAGAGAGAGGGGAAGGGAAGGAGAAAGAGAGGAAGAGAAACATCATGTGGGTTGCTCCTCACACGCCCCCATCTGGGAACCTGGCCCACAACCCAGACATGTGCCCTGACTGGGAATCAAACCAGCGTCCCTTTGGTTCACAGTGCGGTGCTCAATCCACTGAGCCATACCAGCCAGGGCTGGACTTCCTCACTTCTTTACCACCCGTGAACCACACTCCCTCACTTGACTGTCTGCAGCAAGGTCTCTGCAAAGAGATGCTTAAGGCAGGCGAAGAGGAGGACGCGAGGCCCATGGTTGCTCTGCTCACCTCCGAGATAGACTTGACGAATCGGATCCCATCGTTGGCGCCTTTCACCTTGGCCAGGCAGGCGCAGAAGTAATCCCAGTAGTCCTTCTTGTTGCCCAGGAGGGTGGCCTTCTCTTTCTGATCGAACTGGGTAAGGAATGGGACAGACAAGCGATCTAAACCACTGCCGTCATCTCATTAAGTGACAAATGGTAACAACAGCTTCTTCGCTGCCCGGCCCTGAGTACGGCCCTTTACCGGCATTATTTTTATTTATTGCCAAACGAAAGTGTTTTAATCCCCAACCTACAGATAAGGAAACCGAGGCTAGGAGATGGTAAGCAACTAGCTTGAGGTCATACAACTACTAAGATTCAGGAATAACAGCACCCCCTACCAAAAAAAGATTTATCCCTTGAAGGGACCTCAGTGCAGAGTTGAATGGAAGACCACCAAAGCTGCTACTAATAACTTTGATAAAGATCTGTAGCAACTTATGATAAAGAAATACCAGTGAAAAGTCCTAAGGGCAACATGGAGAGTGCTAACTCTGTCTCAATTCAGGGAGATGAGTTAGTGACATTTTATCCCAGTTACTCAAGTGTTAATGTCTCTATATATAAACAATACATTCAAATCGGGGTCTGCTGTAAGTCATTTCAAATCCAAAACTAAAACGAATTTTTTTACATGAGAAAAAACCCAAAGGTCCGTAAACATCCTCATGGTGTGAAACAGAGAACCAGCTGAAAAGGCCGGTGATGGGCGAGTCCTTCCACACGTTGTGGCCGCCCCTCCAGTGGGCCCTCACCCTGTACACCACGGTGGGTGTGAGGGTGCAAACCAACGGTGTTCAAAGTGTATTGGGATATCGCTCTATAACGTAACGTAACATTTTACAGCATTCTTTTCTGATTATAGAAGATATGCATATATTGTTAGGCAATCTGGATAGAACCCCCCAAAAAAAACAGAAAAGAAAAATTATAACACCCAATACCACCACCTTAAGGTTAACTGCTGTTAACATTGTGGTCTATTTCCTTCCTGTTGTAGATAGCTGCCTGTGTTTTTCAACACCTGCTGAGTTCCCTAGACCTGTGCACTTGAACCGAGCACACACAAGCATTCTGCTATGAACGTGTTAAAGGAAAAGCTTCTGCCTCCGCTGACTGCAGAGATCCTGACGCAGGGTGTCAGAGGGGGACCAGGAGCACATCCCTGACACTGTCCCAGGGCAGGTGCCATGCTGGTCTGCGGACCGCACCTGAGCAGCAGGCGCTGAAGTAGGCATCCGGACAGTGTTCAGAGGGCCCACAGGCTGCTGGGAAAGCTGTGCCTGGTTGTGCACACACATGCACATCTGTTAGGATGGAGGGTACATAGCTTCCCCAGACTTTCGTAAGGGGACGTGGCTGCCCCAAAGTTAAGATCTGCTATACAGGGACCTTGTTACCTGCCTTAAGTTGACCTACTCTCTAAATATGTTCTGGATCCCCAAAGTCACCCTAAGGGGCAACGTTCTGATTCCCCAGAGTATGGCACTGGGAGGGCCGCGCTCTCGATGGGGGCCGCCTCGACGGTTGGTCTGACCGGGACGGCTCCGTGGCTGCCCAGCTTCCTGGACCACACCCTGAGTGCGGCTGAGTCACTGTGAGGGAGACGACAGACAGTGGGGCAGGAGGCAACACAGCACGGGGGCCACTTACTTGGAGGAGATACTCGAGTTTGTAAGAGAACTTATGCAGGCTGGTGCTGTCATCCGTGACGGGTTCCCCTGCTTCCTTAAATTCTTTACTTAGTTCTGTCACGGCACCTTTAAGACAACGAATGGGAACGTGTAACCAGATGGAGCTGGACCTCGGAGAGAAAGGCAAAAGGCCTGGGAAGCACGAGTAGGAGGGAGTCAATCAACGATGGCGAAGCCCATGGGAAACGTGAGGCCCCACGTCCACGGGGACGTGAGGCCGAGTCAGAAGGTGCTGAGGTGTCCGGAGAGTCCAGTGCCCTGCAGCAGCTCACCGGGTGGGCACGCTTCTGGGTCCACCCTGCAGGCCCACCACGCAGGCCTCTAATACACACACAGCGTTTCGTCCACAGAGGTGTGCCGTGTGGGTGAGTCACTCAGCAGTCCCCTGACACTGGCTTCCAGAGAGCCTTCCCCTTTTTTCTGGCCACGTTGCTTATTACGGTTCTTCACTATCATCCTGTTGCTCAGTGCAGGGAAGTGCAGGCCCCAAGAAGACCCAGGATGCGTAAATAACACCAAGGACAATGATGCCAAGACTGACAATGACAGTACCCGCCTCTGGTAACTGAGCACCTGCTAGGGACCAGCTTCGCACGTCTTTCTCACTGAATACACACCGTGAAGCAGGAGTATCATCCCAACAAATCTACGATGCAACTGATTTCAAGATGCCCCGACTTCAGAGCTGTTAAAAGGTGAGAAACAGTAAGCACACGTCCAACCTTACACGGGAGCCTTGGCTTTCTCGGGGGCTTTCCTGCCCACAGTGCACCCCTTCACTTCTACGACAGTCTGCCTCCCAGGGCAGAAAAGGGGGAACCCCCTGTGGCCCTCACCTCACTCACAGCCTCTGCTATGAGGCAGAGGGGTTATGAGAGGCTGGGTTGGTTGAGAACTTAGAAAAATGTCCCCAGCTGAAATGGCTGGAACATGCCGGAAGACAAAAATACCTCCTTCTCTGACAAGTCTTATGAGAAAAGGAGCCCCAGGGCCTGCTCTCCCGCACCCTGGCTGAGAGCAGGGCTGCGCGGGGCTCAGCCTGAGCTGCGGCGAAGTCAGCTCACAGCAAGACAGGTGCTTGGGACTGATTCTGTAAGCGACTGGTGCCCAGCTGCGCCCTAGTAAAGTGTCTGCTGTGGCTGGCCTTGGTGAAAAGACTCCCAGCCTTCCTTCCCCACCCTCAGGCGGGGTCAGCGCTCCCAGACTGATCTGGAACTCCTGAAACTCTGAGAGAGCCTTTCTTTCAAAGAAGTGTCAAGATTTTAACGCCAATCTCTGATAACCCAGACGCATTACTGGTGGATACCTTGGTTTCCTGGGAATCCCACATGCACCCTGCCAGCAGTCAAGAAGTGGGCGAGGTCACCATCCTCCCCTCCACGGGGAGGAAGCAACCGCACCCTGGAAAGGGGGCGGGACCTGTTTGACATCTTCCAGGGTTCAAAGGTGGAGCTGTGAGCTGACCCGGGGCCTGCCTGACACCAAAGCCCACACAACTGCCTCCCGAGGGGAAGCAGGCTGCCTGCAGGGGCGTGAGGGCTGGGCGCTGCCCCAGGACACCTCAGCCAAGGACGTACCGCTCTCAGGGCAGAGGCTGCCGACTTGTGGGATGCTTGTTAAGACAGCCACCGACAGATGGAAAGAAAGAGTCCTGAGAATGTGGTGCCTTTTAAGAACTCCCACCAGAGTGCTTGTGGGCTGGGTCTAGGGCACTGAGACAGCCGTGGGACGTCAGGAACGACCAGAAGCAGTCAGAACACGGGGTAGCAGAGGGCAGCCGAACAAATGCTGATGCCCACCCTCTTCCCGGAGGCAGCTCCGCCAGGGCTCCCCTCTGCGTCCCAGTGAGGGGCGCCAGGTCCCGAACCAGAGACTGGACAGAGAAGACTGCCTACGCTGGGGAGAAACCTCTCGGGGTCAGTTGCAGAGACTGGCACTTTGCTTCCTCCGTGCACACGTGCGTGTGTGTGGGTTCTTTAAAAAGCAACAACATTCTAGCTGCAGGGAGACAGGTGTGGTTAAGACCAGACTCTGGAACCCGGTGTGTGTGTACAAGCCAGACTCTGCGGACTGAACTGTGACCTTGGGCAAGTCACTGAACCTCTGTGTCCGCTTCCACATCTGCAAAGTGGGAATAATGATGAGTCCCACCTCACAGAGTTAAACATGAAGACTCTTGACTTATCGTGCATAAGACATGAATAAGACAGTGCCTGGCATATGTGAAATGCCATGGAATTATTTGCTACTAGAGGCCCAAAGATAGAAATAGGAGATAGGCCTGAGAAAGTGATTTTTATCTCATCGACTGTGGCCTTCAGAATGAGGCCAGTAACATGGCCTGATGGCCCTGGCAGAAGAGCCTGCAGTTGGGCCCGGCTGTGCGTGAGCAGTCTGTCTGTCCAAAGAGTGTCACTGCATGCTCTGTGATGAGGCGGAAGTGGTAAGCTGCAGCCTGTTGTAGCAAATGTGCTGAAGCTCCAAAGAGACTTGGGAGAGCGTCCCCGGAAAAGCAGACCTCGGGTCCTGGGCCACGGCCAGCAGAGAAGGCAGTCAGTCCCCACTGCTGCTCACAGGCACCCTCCTGCCGTGCCTCTCCCCAGGGACAGCCCGCACGGTGGGCTCTCCCCCGGGCGAGGCTGCACTAGAGGATGCCCGGGAGGCAGGAGGCCCGCACTGGAATTGGTCCAGAACAGGCCACCTGCCCACCATGAGCAGGTGAGACAGCGAAGCGAGAAAGACGGGCATCTGGTCTTTCCGTTCAGAGGGAAGGAGAATGTTCTTCCCAACTCCATCAGAGCCTGGAGGTTCACGATTCAGCCAAGAACATACACACAGAAATCAGACCCAGACCCGGAAAGGAGTATTTGATTTTGTTTACAAAGTGCCTTTCCAGGGCCCTACCAGGCACGCTCTCCCGGCCTTACAGGATGGACGCCTGAGCTCCAAATGTTTCAAAATGATGTGCCCCGAGGGCTCCAGTGACCCCTCCCGGGGTGGACACAGATGAAAGGGCTAAACTTCAGCTGGTGACAGCAACGGAGTGACGGCTCCTTCACTCCGAACCCGGCATGCCGTGTGGCCCAGCGTACCTTGCAGATCACGGATGATCCTCTGGAGCTGGCTCTCCACGCTGGCAGAAGCCATGGCGACGGCTGCGGGCCGCCTGTTGTGGCAGCGCACCTCCTGCCCAGGTCCAGTCAGCAGAAGTCAGAGCCCATGGTAGCACCTGCGTGAGGGGGGAGGAGGCGTGGAAGAAGCAGTCACAGACCAGTGCGGAGACAGGGGACAATCGCTGCTCTGGGCACAACGCTGCCCCACCCAGGCACCGTCCTGCAGCGGGAAGGGCTTCACCTTCCTGTGTGGGCCTGGCTCTGTGGGCACCCTGGTTGGCTCCTGGCACACATACATTCAAACACAGTGAACTGGCTGGGGCCTTAAAAAGAAACAAAGTCAACCCAACACTGTGGCCCATTCTTTGTGCGTTCCCCTCCTAACCTGCCCTCTCAGCACGGCCTCACTTTCTACCTTTAAAAACGCCTCCCGGTGGCTCCCCCATCCTCTCAAAACCAAGGCCAGAACTAGTCCGACCCCACCCAGTTCACCAGCCTGCTAATTCCAGACCCCCATATCCTTCTCTGAGGACTGCTGGGGGCAGTGGGCCAGAGACGCAGACACGTACCCTCGGGGGTGCTGGGCCAAGGGAAGCCAGGCCTGGGTCTGGGGGAAGCGGCTCCCTCGGGGCAGGTCTGCAGCTCCAGGTGCCCAGAGTCCAGCTCTGCCCGGCTGGGCAGGCACCGCCGGGTCTGTCCTCAGGGGCCTGTGAGGCCCTTGGAACCGGTCAAGGGACACTTCTATTTTAAGCTCAGTTACTGTCCTCTTGCGGCTCGTGAAGCCCGAGTTACCAGCCCTACTAGGGCAGCTGCTGAAGTGACTTAAGGACACTGTGGTGGCTGAAACCCACGAAGATGAGGAGATGTGAGCGGTGCCGAAAAGAGGCCTGGGCGCACACCTGGACACCCTGTGTCCTTTTCCGAGTCCCTACTTCTTTCCTCAGATGCCCACGTGAAGCTGGAGGTTTGCTGGCAAAGCAGTTGGCGAGACCAGAGGTAGCCATAGTAGTGGCCACCGCTGAACAAGAACCTACTATGTACTGGGCCCCCGGGACCATTTTAATTCCCACAGTCACCCCAGCAACACTGGGTCACTCCAGCAACACTGGAGAATGTGCAGAGGAGAAACTGGCAAACTGTAGCTTCTCTGAGACCACAGGCCAGCAGGGAGCGCACTGAGGCTCGAATGCCCCGGTCAGTCTGTGGATGTACACTCCGTGGATGTACAGCTGAGCCACGGTCTCTACAGCAAATGGTCAACCACTTCCACTGGCTTCTAGGAACCACCCTGACCTCCCGCCATCTCCCAAATGGGGTGCCGCTACCCTGAGGGCCATGCTGGCCTCACTTGGCTCTGGGAGTCGAGGCAGGAAGATCCTGGAATAGAAATGGTCACCAACCTCCAGCTCCTCCAAATATTTACATAAGCATTCCAGTGTCAGCCTGAGTGAGGAGGGCCTGTCACAGGGCGGACAGAGAGGCCGGCCTATTTTTAACTCACAAACCAGGGCAGCTGTGACTCAGTAAAAACAAGGCCCAAAGAAGGCTTCTCCAGACGAGGAGGAACGGGACAGGCACAGTCCTACACGCACTCCCAGGAACCGAGGACACGGAGCCTCGGGGAGCAGGGGCATCCAGAACCTGCGAAGCTCCCCAGCAAGTGCTGGCACCCTGCCCATCAGAGACGGCAAACTGAGGGTGGTGTGGTTTACAGGGGGCCAGTCCACCCAGCCCCTGCCGACGGCCTGAGCAGGGCCATGGGGAGAGCTGGCGCTCAGGTTGGCCTGCCCCTCTGCAGGGGCTCTGCTGCCCAGGCGGGCACTTCGGCCTGCTGGCAAGGGAGAGGATCAAGGAGTATCACTGCCAGTGCACAGCCGCCCCAGCCCCACACGCTGTCACTGTCTACCATGTGTGGGCTGGGGGCACAGAGTAGGCAAGGCCCAGCCCAGCCCTAGGTGCTAGGCTAGGCACCAAGGAGACAGACAGAAAACTATCCAGATACTGAGATACGACAAAAGAGGTCCATGCAGATGCATGGATAAAAAGTGATGGGTGCTCAGCAATGAAAAGGAACAAACCACTTATACACACAACAAATGCTTTATGTTGCGTGAATGAAGCCAGACTGAAAAGGCTCAGTACTTTACGATTCCACCTGCAAATTCTTGCAAAGGCAAAACATCGAGGAGGAATCAGATCACTGGTTGCCAGGCCCTGGGGGTAAAGGGGGGCTCTGACTACAAAAGAGTACGCAGAAATTTGGGGGGCAATTCTGTTCTGTCTTAGTTATGGTGGTGGTCACATGACTGCAAGTATCTGACAAATGTATTTTGAGTTGTCAAAACTCACACACTGTAAACTGTATCTCAGCCACAACATCTGCACTGTGATGAATTTAGAAAGCTGTGTGCGGTGGGCCCGGTGAGAGGGGAAAGTGAATTCTGCCTGGGGAAGGGAGAGCGGGGTCGGCACTGTGAGGGCAGCTGGGCTGGGCCAGGCCTGAAAAACGGGTGGGAGGTCCTCAGAGGCACAAGGTGGAGAGGGCACAAGGTGGGTGGTGGTGGTGGTGGCACAGGGAGCCTGTTTCTCCAACGGCGTTCCTCTCTTTAGAGTGCCGTCAACGCAGAGCCTTGCAGCTTCTGGGAGAACCGGTCTCCGAGGAAGATGACTAAACCCCATGGGTCCATAAAGGAAGCCTGCTGGGTGTGCATGTTTGCCTGAAGCAGAGGCAAGACCTGCACACGTGGGAGGAGGTGGGGCACTGGGCCGGGGACAACGACAGACCCTGCACTAGCTCAACAGGCTCAGCCAGAACAATGCATGAGCGACATACAACAGCCGGATTTCCTAGAAACCTGAGGGCAAAGCCCTCTCTGGAGCCTGGCGTGAGGGAACAGCACAGGCAAACCAAACTGGCGTCTTGGCACGATGAGCTGAACACAGACACAAGCGTGCTCCTTCAAGACTCCCTGGCACCCTGGCGAAGCTGCCCCGGTGTGGGCCCGAGCCCGGGCAGGCCTTCTTTGCCTGACCCTAGCGGGGCGTTCAGCTGAAGCCAAGTTCCCAGGCCACGGGGTGAGCGGTGCCAGCTGCTGACCACACAGGCTGCCTTTCCAAACAGCCTGCGTCACTACCAAAGTAACGAGCCCCAAGAACCTGGCTGCTGGGCCCGCAGGCCACAGGAGGCTCCCCACCAGGGCTGCGGGTCACCTCCTCACATGCTTTCAGGAAGGCAGGGCTTCCTTGAAAGACATGGCCTCCACAGGGATGCCGATTCCATGGACCTGGAAAGGACATGACTTAGCACTGTGCCCTCCCTCTTCCTCAGTCTGAGGTCGTTGGTGACCAGTGGAAGCACAGACAGGGGCCCCGTCTCTCTCCACACTGTGGTTGGCTTTCTGTGTCTCCAGAGAGCCTTGCCCTCTGGTTGAGGAATGAAGTTGCTTTTTTCTTTTTCTTTTTAAGCCCACGACACTCTGACACCAAATTGTGCCTGTTTCCCACACCAGGAACCAGTTCTGACACCTGGTGTCCCACAGTTCAATCCAATTCCGACACTAACCACTTGGGAGAACACTGGGTTTTCTCGCCAACAACTCAAAACTATGTTTAAGCTTAGCTAGACGTCTGACAACACCCACCCTTCCAAAAGAGGAAAAGGAACTAGATGCATTTTTTACTATTTTACCGGGGACTACTGTCTGCGCCTCTAGTCATGGCCTAGGTATTAATTATACGAGAGGTAAAGGAGCTTCTTCCACCTTGAAATTCCTCCTAGACCTGCCCAGAAGCCCTAAATGCCTTAAACAATAGACTCTGCAGTTTAGTGCCAAACCAAGGTACAAAGACTGACTCACATAAACTTATTTACACTATGGTACAAATGACTAATATTCTTGTTGCCCAGAAATGGGTTCTGGCAGAGGCAATATTGCGTCCGAGACCCAGAAATGAAGGACCAGAAGGGGAGGAGGAGGTCTGGGGCATGAAAAGCAGCCCGGCCTGGCCTTCAAACTCCGCCACACTTGCTCGTAACGAGTACTGACAGTAACAACACAAGAACTAAGAACTGACCCTAGAGGCCACTGTACAATGGGGCTCCTCCCACTCTCAAGCAAGGGGGAACACACCAGTTATAAATCCCACCCAGAACAAGGAAGGATGTTAACGAGTTCAGATCGGTCAAAGCAGGAAGCCATCCTGGAAGAGCCCACTGCCCTGGCCTGGTTCGGCACACCCAGGAGCATCTATCCAGTTTATGGGCAGGGGGCTCTAGGCTGGTACCTGTAGCTTTGAGGGCCCACAGTCCCGCCGGTTCAGCACTGAGTCTGCTGGTGGACGGGCAGGCTGCCCTCCCCAGAGCTTCGAGAAGGCGCCTAGGAGGGTGCTCAGGTTGTTGGCCAGCCCAGAGGTAGACACTGTCTCACGCATGAGCAAAGTCTCCTTGGGCAGCCCTACCCTCAGACCTATAATTAAAATGTTGACCAACCGTATGCCTGGCTCATCTTTCCCAAGCACTCCTTGCTTGCAATCTTCTCCCTTTCTTAAAAGGGATGAAGACTTGAGACTTTGCTATCACCTCTTCAAAATTCTCTTGCTATGCCCCCTTCCCACCAGCAATTTCAGGTTTCCTGGTCACTTGCCCTGGAACACACACGCCGGCTCGATTCCAGCCCACTGACCAGGAGAACAGGGCAAAGAGAAACCTGGGGATGGGAGGCATTGCTCCTGAGCCTGGGGGAAGCTGTCGTTTCTTTAGGAAGGTGGGCAGCTGCTCCCAGGCGGGGCTGTACACCGGTACTTGGGGCTGCAGTGCCACCAGAAAGCCCAAGAAGCACCCAGAAGGCCACAATAGCACATGTGTGTGAAAACCTGGGCAGTTTCTGGCAGAGCTGCACAAACAAACGAGAACAAGCTTGTGCACCTAACTCCTGCCCCGAATGGCACAAACCCCACATAGGTGGAAAACAGTGGTGCTCCCGCATCACACACTGGGTCGGGGTGGGGGGTCTGCCCAGACAGCAGGTAACCCCGTGTGCTGACAGAGCTCCAGCCAGCCAAGCCGGGTTCGCTGCGCACCACCGCTGAGACAGGCCTGACCCAGGAGCTGGGGCTACAGCTGTGAACAAGGCCAGCTGAACCCTGGCCTTCAAAGACTCATGATGGGTAGGCAGACAGCATACCCCTGATATGCTTACAGACAAATAACCAAATGATAGAGACCACTGAGGCCTGGGAGGCATTTTGATGACAACAGGTGGACACCTGAGGCAGCAAACTCCACTCTGCCCGGGAGCTCAGCCCCCACCACAGGGGCTCTCCCTTCTGCCCTCGAGGCCACTGCCAGCCAGTCATTTGAGCCGTCCATCCCACTTGTCGTCCATCCCACTTGTCGGTGAGTTCCAGGGCGGCTGCTCGTCATTTCCCCAGCCCCCAGCACACTTCTGACACGGAGGGCCCTAAGCTACTACTGAATGAATGAGACGAAACCAAACCACTGACTCTTCTTCCACTAACCGAATCAAACTTTAGGCATAGAAATATACTAGAAATGCACCAAAGTGTAAATGATCCTTCCATGGTGGGATATATGGGTAAATCTGCAAAAAAGTTCTATTTCTCTGATTATTCAATTCGTCTTTATTAAGTATAAAATGCTTTTAAGTTGACTAAAATAATGCACTTAAAAAGTCAAATCGTAACTGCAGAC